TGCACTGTGTCACGGGTAACTGGTAGAGTGGTAGAGTGATTAAGATGAAGTTCCTGTATTGGGTAGGCCTCAGGACCTAGGACTAGAACATCAGTATCATTTATAGGACCAGCTCTGACTTGCTTTGAGTTGGCATAGAAAATGCTGAACCAAACAATTTTGGTCAGACTAACCAAAGCTCTTCTTGGATTCTTAAACCTCTCATCCATTTGTTCCCCATCCTTATGCCATTTCTACAATTTAAAATATGTCTGGAAGAATGATATAATTCAAATACATGCTGAACAGGTAAAATAAAGGTTTCCCTGTCTAGTCATAGGTGACTCTAGAGTATGGTGCTCATCTCCATTTCTTGGCTGAGGGAGCTAGCATTGTCCAAAGACATTTTCCATGATCATGTGGCCAGCATGGCTATACATCAAAGGCACATGGAACATTGTTACCTTGCCACCAAAGTGGTACCTATTAATCTACTTGCATGCTTTTGAACTGCTAGGTGGGCAGGAGCTGGGGCAGGAATGGGAGCTCGCCCTGTTGTGTGGCACTCAGGTTTTGAATACAGGCTGTCAGTTTTCCAGCTGACAAGCTCGGTGTCTTTAACTGCTGAGCCATCGTGCCCTCTTCTATGCTGAACAATAAAACAGAATTTACTTAGAAAACTTGAAATGTAAACCCATAGAAAGCCCAAGAAAAATATTGTACTTATTTAACAGAAGAAAATGCACATGGAATATTTCACTTTCCTCCTCTTAGAAATGAATCATTGCTTAATGGAGCCAAACCGCAGGAGTCTTCAACTACTGCCAATGCAACTCAGAGTTTTTGTTTAACAGAGTGTATATTTATGTGTATTGAAGTGCAGAGTCTTCCTTATTTTATTGCAACAGGCAAAATATAACACCTCACTTGCAGTTCAATGCAGAAAGAGGCCAGTAGCATTTAAAAGCTGTCCAACAGACCTGAAAAGAGCTAGATAGGAAATTACAACTCTGGAAAATTGTGACAAGGCCAAAATCAGTACTAATGAGTAACTTACAAATAAGTGAATGGAAAGAAGAGATAAATAAGATAGTAGAAACAAAGTATCTATTTCAGGAAATGTTATCTTTTTATAACAAATAAAAGTGAAGGGAAAAAAGTGATTTGGGTATATTCTGAAGTAAACGAAGTAAAAACGGTACTGTAAAAATACAGGTAATCCTTGAATTACAACCATTCATTCCAGGGATCATTTGAAGTTATGATAGTGCTGAACAAAGGGACTTATGACTGGTTCACAAAGTTCCAGACATTGCAGTCACATGAACAAAACTGAAGAGCTTAGCAACTAGCTTGCACAGTTGACTGGTTGCAGAATCCTGCGGTCACATGACTGCCATTTGCAACCTCCCCTGCTGCCTTTTCTACAAGCAAAGTCAATGGGGGAAACTGGCAGGCAAGATCACAAGTCTCTCAGGCCTCTCCCACCCTTCTGCAAACATTCCTGCACAGGAACTTCCCACTTAATGACCCACACTACTGGAGTTATCACAAACAATCAGAACTGCCTAGATTGTCATCTCTAAGTCATGTGGTCACATGACAATCACATCACTTAGCAATGGCAATTCTGGTCCCAATTGCAGTCCTAATTTGAGGATTCCAGGTGTCTGTCCTGAAGGATAAGCTCCACTGGCCCAAATTACAAAGTCGACCCAATTTGTAACCCACAGAGCATTATAATAATTTGCATACTGCCAGAGAAGTAAATAACGCCTTGCCCCAGAGAAGGGGAAGTGTCCCATTTATTAAGGGCGTCCCTATAAGCTAGAAGGAGCAACGCACCAGCTCTGGATCAGAAGGAACCAAAAGGCTGGATTGCAAAACGCCCCTGGTCCAAAGCTTGGGAAGGTTAGAAGGGCGGAGGTAAATGACAACCAGCAGCATCCTCGAGCTCTCCGTGGGCTTCCTTTAGTCTTAAGAGCCCGGCTGTCCACCTGATGAATCCTTGGAGGCAACAGAACTGCCCCGCCACAGCTTTTCAACCGGGTCCCGCCGCTGTTTCCAGCCCCGGATCCCCGATGCTCAGCCGATCAGGGTCAAAGCCAGCCTTCCTCCACCCGCTCAGACTTCCACCTCCAGGGCTGGTCATGATCCCCCATTCGCCTTCCTCTCCAGCGGTGCAAACGCTTGCCCTGCCTTTCACCCGCCCGCCCCCCCATTCTTAACGCGCCTTCCTTCCCAGGCAAGGCGAGGCTCCTGCCACCTCGGCCACCGCCGCCCCCCCCACTTGCCCGGCGGCAGGAAAGAGGGCAAGGGTTACTCACTCAGCCAGGACTCCAAGCTTTCCCCTTCCGCCTCCGCCATGTTGCCGGCTGGCTCGGAGACTCCGCCCCACCTCCGATCAGGTTACACCACGGCTGCGCCGAGCCGATCAGGCGCCGCCTAACCCTCGGAAGGTGGGGGGGAGAAGGTCCGCGTCTCCTCCTTTCTCCTCGCCTCCTCTGGCGGCGGGCGTCGCTCACTACCTTTTTTTCTTGTGATCAGGTTGTCCTTGTTCTTGCTCGGATGGTCATTCCCGCATCTGCGCTTCGCTTGTGCAGTTGCCTTTTCAAATATGGCGGGTGTGGTTGGAAAAAAAAATATTCTACTTAAGAAAAAAACAAAGATTTTTCCTGAATCCCTGCTTCCGTCCTTGGCAAAATAGACCCAAAGCTGATAATAAAAATCAAGGTTGTATATCCTACTTATTGTAGGACCAAATTTGGATGATTATCTTAAATACTTTTTTTAAAAAAATCCACCTGTATAATGTAACGATCCTAAAAGGCGACAATTTTTCTTCAAGATAGCAACCCAGCTTACATAACGCTGTCCCCCTATATAGAGACATTCTCGGGAAAATAAAATTGAATAAGTTGTAACCTAGAGGTTTGTTTGCCGATATACAGGTGCTTTGTGATTGGCTATACCTACCATGGCAACTATGTTGTGAGAATTTGCAGTCATACATTCTTAACATTCCAAATGTGCACTCTGATTCAAAAAATTGAGGTCCCAGGAATATGCACCACTGGCTCCCTTGCAGTAGCACAAGAGCTGTGACAACGAAAGATTTAATAGATCTTCATCTCTAGAAGGACTTAGAAGAACCTGCTTGGACCCATCCACTTGCATGAAATATTTTCTTAATCTTTTCTTAATCGGATACCTTCTGGAAGTTTTGCATTCAAGCTATTAAGACCATAACTTCATTGTCTACCTTTCCTGCCATTGGTATTTATTAGCATTTTTACAGGACACAAATTTCTATCCCACTTTAGTATCGCAAAGGTGCTTTTTTAAAGAAGCAATTGGACTTTTTTTTTTAAAGCACCTTTGGGACAACCATGACCTCCTGCATGTCTGGGACCTCCATAGATGTCCCACTTTAGTATTAAAAAAAAACTTTAGTTATTTTAAAAAGTTATAAAGTAATGGAAGGAAATGGTAGAACAAATACACTAAAAAGAGATAACAAAATAAAAAAGACTAAAATTTAGCAATATGATAAGACAAATGTTTATGAGAACAAGGTTTATCCATTGTTGTTTTACTGCCAATGCTACATCCTATTTGTAAGTTTGGTAGCTATGTTCAGTTATGACAGCCAATACTTACTTGTTCTTTTATTTGTGACAGCCTGTTTTTCCAGGTACAAATCTTTCCAATTCATATTAAAATAGTATTGTTCAATAAAAAACATTTTTAAAAAATAATCAGAATTGCTTCTATGGGACAAATAGCCCTAAGGGAAGAATGAAAGATGCTAGTTTGAACAGGCTCTGAGATGGTTTTCCACTGCCTTCCCTCAGTTTTCTTTTATACCAGACAATTGATAGTTTCCCATGACTAACTCATATTTAAAGCTATCCGAACTAAAGGATTGACACACCTTAGCTTGTACTGTAGCCATGAACTCCATAAATCTATTGTGTATTGTGTGAACAGTCTTTTCTTTTCCTGAATCTCCTTTCAAATTTATTAGATTGCTCCCAAATTCTTAATTTTAAGCAGAAAGTAACATTTTGTAATCCCTTTTTTTCCCTCCTAAAATTAAAAATAAGAACCAAGTTTTTCTGCATTCAATATTTTTCTCGGGCTGTTTGTAATTTTAGTCATCACTTTCATTTCCCCCTCTCTTTTCAACACTCTTTCCAGAGTCCTTCAATGATGGACAAAAATACACTGTTCTCATCAACTACACCAGCGTGGTTGATCCCAAACTGATAAAAGATGGCTTACAAAACACATTTTGCCGGACTGTAGTTTTCCCAGGCTTTTCGAGAGCGATCTCCTCCCCATACTCTCAACCATATGGAAAACTATGGCAAACTAGCAACGAGTCTATATATATATATAAAGACTATATATATATGCCGACTTGCTCAGTTGCGTTTTTCCTAGAACCATTCATAGATCGCATAGAATAAGAGTTGGAAGGGACTTTACGGGGTCATCTAGTCCAACCCCGTTTGAGCAGAAGAGTCTATGCCAAATATTAGCCTCTACCTAGGCTCGAACTCACAGCCTCCTGATTGTGAGGCGAGAGCTCCACCTCTAGGCTTCTTTAAACGATGAACATTTTTTGGAGGCAACCACTTATTGGCCCCAATTGTTATGTTGGCTTATTTATTGTGCCAACCAGCGTATTGTTTCTATCGCTTGAAAAAGCGAGGAGCACTTGCTCAGGATTGGAAGGAACCCCATATGTCCACTTACTAACTTAGCAAGAAATTGAGACTTGGCAAGAAATTGATTACACAAGCAAGTAAAACTTCTTGTTGTACTTTTTTACAGATACACCAAGAAGAGAACGTTAACATATCCAGCTGTCTCAGCAGGGATAATCTACTAAAGAAGGAAGCCCACCCGGTTGTTTTTTTTGCGGAACTTCCCTGCTGATGGCTACGTCACAAAGGATCATGGAATGGGGAAGCCCCTCCCCCGGAAGGCTGTTTCCAGAGCAACGGCGCTCCTCCCCCCTCATCCCAGGCGGTCCTTTGGACAGCCCTCGACGAGATCTTGAAGGAAGATGGCGTCCCCCGTGGTGGAGAAAGTGGGGCGCCTGGTCCGGCAGCTCCGTGTCTCTCGGAAGCTCTGGCTACCCGGGTAAGGAAGGGAGGAACAAAGAAAGAGAACGGCTTGAGACAATGCCACGTAATGGACAGAGGAGGGTTGGATTTAATCTTGGTTCCCTAAACCAGAATGACACCTTGAATTATGGCTCCTCCAAGCAGCATGCATGCCAGGCGGGAACGTGCATAGAAACGGTGGGAGGAAATCCTCAAATGCCTTCTGTGAAATAAAAATTAAATTACCCTCGCCACCATAATCATGCAATGTTTTGCAAGCGGTTTGCGTTTCTTCTTTCCCTTTTTAAGTTTTTCAAGGTCAGCCAAGTGGCATGCAGTGGCTAAACTCATCGGGACCAGCTGGGTTTTATTTTTGCTCGCTTTGTTCGGGTTAAGGTTGGGCTGAAGTGGTTGCACCCGAGAGACTTGCATGTGAGAAAAGGAGTTTACATGCAGCATTCTAAGTTTTCATGCCTTGGAGGTTGAAAATATTGGTGTTGACAACCGTTTTCTGCTCATCAAATCCTTTGTAGGCTGACTCAAGTCAGGTGGAGCCGATACAATCCTGCATATATTGATCCAGAAGTGAATAAAGAAATTTATCGTAAATCTCCAGAGGAAATGTCAGAGGAGGACAAAAAGAAACAGCAGTTGAAAACAATCCAGCCGGTAAAAGCTACCGAATCCAGCATCACCAGTTCTGTGTTTTATGATCCTGCGATCAGGTTTGGGTTTTTTATTATTTATTTTAATTTAATACTAATTTTATTAAAAATTATATTTATAGTGATAAAACTAATTGAAATTAAAAAATTGTGCAGAAAATAAATAAAAAAAGAATAAAAATAAATTATAGTTTAATGTATTCAAAAGATGCAAATACATAATTCAAAAGAAGAAATAGAGACAAAACTAAACAAGAACATTAAAAAGTGAAATAAGGTCAAAAAACAACATTATCCCTCCTAATTAAATGCTGACAAACTGTTTGCAACAATAATAGCTTTCTCACTGCCCCACCAGGTCCAAAATTTATAAGCTGCTACATCTGCAACCCAATTGACCTGTCATACTTTATATATTTCAAAGAAAAAATAGTTGACAGGTTAAGTAGCAGTAAGTTAGAATTCAGGGCCTTCTGTTAATAGTCTGTTTCCTGAAAATTACTTGTAGAAAGTTTACAACAGTTTTTTATTTACCACAAATTACATCAATCATTACCTCTGATTTGCCTAGGATCAAATATCCCTGTTTGATTTTTAATGAAACTTTTCCTTAGTTTTTTAATTGGAAACTTTCCCAATATTTGCATCTCATTTCCAAAGTTCATTAGTCTCTGTTGTAAATGTCTCTGCAGCATTCATTGTTGCAAAATTGAAGACTACTTATAAGACTGTCACATTTTTGTCATTACAGCAGATTCATTAACATGATGATGAAAGGAGGTGATAAACTTTTGGCACGTACCATCATGAATCAGGTACAATTTATGTTTCACATGCTTTTTCTTTATTATTGCCCATATGGGAAAGAAATAATAACCCTTTTAATGGTTTTTTATAAGTGCTTACCCTTCTTTTAACAATCTATTGCATATTCAGTTATTTCCTCGATTTACTTCTTACCAAATGTCAAATGAATCACAAATTATATGTAGGTCCGTGTTTATGCACCATATTTTTAAACCTGCCTTTCAGAATTATAGTGGAAGCAATATCGGAACTTTTCTAAGGCCTTTTTAATTTTCTTTTTTAAAAATAATTTTTATTGCTTTTAAAAAATAACAGGAAAACAAAAAGACAAAAACAAAGATATAGTACATTATCAAAAAAGCCATAACAAGTGCTTAAAAAGTAAAAATACAAAATATAGAATGTATTGTACAATTATACAGTATATATAATTATCTAAAGCACACATGCAAGTGTGCATGTGTGTCACTGTATAGTCATTCTAATTTATATGCTCTTTAAGGCTCTGCTGATAGACAGTATAATTTTAAAAGTCAATAGCTTTGAGAACTGAAAATCTTTGTTAAATTTAGTAGACAAGGAGAGGTTGAGGTTTTGATCTTTGAATCTTTCTCAAATGTCATGGATTTGTAAGTTGCATACCCTGTGTAAAACAAGATGTGATGTAACACTGATTAGTGACCATCTGTATATGGAAATCAGTTCCATGTTGAGTAAATCGTATTGCTGAGTGAGCCCTTCACAATCCTTCCTTTACCTTTGTTTGGAATTAAGACTTTAGAGGCCATTAAAAGGAAGCAACTTGCAAAATACCATGAAGCCAGTGAGGAAATGAAAGAAAAAATTGAGTGCAATCCTTACAAAATCTTCCATCAAGCAATCGAAAACTGCCAACCTGTAATTGGGCTTGTGGGTATCATAAGAGGAGGTAAAAAGTATCAGGTAAGATATAAATAGAGAATGCTGTGTTAATGGAATATACTGAGTTTTTAAAACTATTGTTTAATGACTGTGCCACAATGACCAACTTTGCACATAATATTTAGTGATAAATACCAGCTTATAAATCAAAATCACCTATCCAACCAAGCCAAGCCAAAATCGAACAATGTGATGGCTTATAAAATAGTTAATGAGTCCTTTAAAGAACTAGCACCCTGGTGTCAAGCATATCTAATTTTCTCCAACTCAAATCTAGTTGGATTTGCATTTTTTGTAATTTAAATATGAAATTATAATAGATGAATAGTATAAAAAAATCATTCCATTGGGATTCAAGATTCTTCTGTTTCCATCTATCGATTGGCAGGTTTACTGCTGTCCGAAAAAACATGCTACACTGAATTTGTGCTACATAAATTTTATTGAGACAAAAATTTACTTGCATTTTTTTCTTTTGAGTTGCCTTTAAATTGCATGGCATCATTTTCAGTGGACCCGGATGCTTGCATAAATTTCTGCATATTTATATATAAGGCAAGACATTTCTGAGAATTTCCTCTTGCATTTGGAAAAGTTCATAACATTGCGGAAAACAGTCTTCATCCACTTCAGTTTTAAGTTGAGATCCCAGAATTGTTGCACTAATTTATACGGCCACCCTGATGTTGGTTTGCATGTTTTGTAACTTAAACATGGAATTATCTGGATGGCATACACCAAAAGCAAACCATGACATGCAAAATATCCACATAACATTAAATAGTTTTTGTTACAGAAATCTTGAATTCAACATTTTTTTGAAGACAAATATGTAGTTTGATGTAAATTTAATTAGCATGCTAATGATAGTAAAGTATATTGAACCTCTTTTGCTTTTTTTCAGGTACCAACTCCTTTAAAGATTAGTCGGCGGAGATTCTTAGCCATGAAGTGGATGATCACAGAATGCAGAGAAAACAAGCACAGGCGAACATTAATGCCTGAAAAGCTCTCAAATGAGCTTCTGGAAGCCTTCAGCAACAGTGGCAACGTGATAAAAAAAAAGCATGAGTTGCACAAAATGGCAGAAGCTAACCGGGCCTTTGCTCATTATCGATGGGGGTAAAGAATGTGCTGTTGGATCAAGTGTATGATGACTTTTGCTACCAGAAAAGACAACTTTTCAGTGTTTTAATTCCATGTGCTATTCTTTGCGTATCACTAATCTGAGCAGAAAGTTGCCTGCTTCCCATTCAACTCTCATCAAAAGAATATGAGCTGAAAAAAAATCAGGGTCCCCCTTTTCAAGTTCACATCGGATGTGATTTTGAATATGTCACATCCCAAATGACATCATCAATACAAATAATTGTTTATTTCCCACTCTTGTGTTCATCAATTTCCATTCATGTTTTGGAAAACTAACAAGCAGGTGATTGAAGGTGATCAGAGCTGAAAAATAGTAAAAATGGAAACTACTTTCTGATTTGTTGCTTGTATATGTGGTGAAGAAAAACCTTTATATTATAGATTCTTTGCAGAAAATAACGTGAATGAGAGATCAGTAGAATGAATATTTGTCTCTGTTTACATATATGTTATTTCATGGGCAAAAATAAATGACGCAGTTTTTATCCTTAAAATATAGTGAGTGTTGGAGGGGTTGCCAAAAGTCTTCTCTGTCTGCATCCAGTGAAATAATTACTATATAGCTTATTTTACCTAATTTTTATTTAAATAACATGTACTAATTTTAAATTATAAGCCCCTTATCTACAACACACAAATTCTACTTGATTGAAATGTTTCAGGCTTGCTGATACCTTCTGGAGGTAGCAAGAATGCCAAACATTTTAATGTTTCCATTTATTAATGAAATATATACAACACATAAGACCTGAAGCTGGTTTAGGAATTACAGCAATAATGAACTTCTTTAGAAGAAGATCATAAATTATTAGATTATAACCCTTTTTATTTTTAGGTAATATTAATTTGCTTGGCTGCATTTAGGAGTGATTGAATTTTTTTTGATCTGCATCTTGAGTGTTTTCAGTGGCATCAGCAATACCTAGAGATAAGTTATCAAACTGAATTTAAAGTATTGTTAGCAACAGACTTGGATAGATCGAACAAAAATAGTATTTGGGGGAAAATAATTAACCACTGGTAAAAATCGTCAGTCACCAGGTCCCAGAAATAAGTTTCTTATGCATTCAAAACCCCAGAAATCTCTCTCAGGATTGGACAGAACTTTGTTCCATGGTCAACCAGTGTAACAGGTAGCCTTCTGAAGTGGTAAACTTCCATTTCTGTAAAAGAAAATTCCAGCTCTTACCATAAAGTATATTGTTTTCATTGAATTAAAAATGGCAACCAGAAATGTGCCTTCATGAGCTATCTTGGTATTGTCGTATTTAGTCCTCCTAAAAAAATTGAAAGATGTTAAATTTCTTGTGGTTTTTTTAAGTGTAGAATCTTTCCATCTCTACTAGCTGCTAAGGATATAGCTATTCTGTTTTGGACCTTAATGATAAGTTAATTTGGGGAAAGGAGAACCAGGCTTAAAAATTTCAAAGCAATTCTTTTCTTGGAGAATCTAGGTGAAGGGTGGGTGAATCATTTAATAGGGCCAGATTGTCATCTGAGGAGTTGCATTGTGAGTATTCATTGTGGAAAAAGTATAACAATTACTTTTGTTAAAATAACTTCTGATCTCCAAATATGTGCTGATATCTTATGTATCTCAGAATCCATTCTAGCATTGTCATGGCATGTTCTTATAAAATAACTACCGTGTTTCTCATATAATAAGGCTGGGTCTTATTTTTTTTGAGCCCCGAAAAAATGGCTAGGCCATCTTTTCGGGGGTGGTGGTGACTTAATTCCCCCCCCCTTGCATCTTCAGGTGGGCGGCGATGGCTTGGATGTTGACCTCGGCATTAGTGGGGCACTTCGTATTGGGGTCAACGCAGGCAGCACCATATCCGGGTGTGCAACAAAAGTACTTCCTAATGGCAAGCCCCCCACCATTTCACATGTTTTAATATAGGCCTTAATTTGGGGGGAGGGGCTTAATTTCATTTCATGCCTATAAAACATGCTGGGACTTCCTAGTGGGGAAGGCCATATTGTTGGAGAAACAAGGTAGCATAGAAATTGTTACTATAAATGTTGCTTCCTTAACCTTTTTTCTGCAGGCTAGCATTTCATGTGTGATTGATTTAAGTGTGCCATCCAGTTAATGTCAATTCTTGTTGGCCACAAATTATCCCCATATTGATTTGTTCCTAACTTGATTCTGCAGGTTTTTCAGCAATGCATTCATTGTCACTGTAACTAAATGGACCTTGCTAAGTGGTGGCCATTTTCTCTGTCCTTCTATCTCCCAGCATTGGAACCTTCTCCAAAACTAGGTTTTTGCATAATTTGTCCACCTAGAATTATTTGATTGTGATCATGTGTGCTTCGTATGAGAACTCTGGATTTATTTATTCAGTGATCCATTGGTTTTTGGCTGTCTATGATATTCTCAAGAATCATTTCCAACATCAAACTTCGAAAGTGTCAATGTTCTGCTTCTTCAAGGTTCCCCTTTATCTTTCCTAAAGTCACAAGAAATAGCATTGTTTCACTATTCTGTAGGTATTGACACATCACAGCATCTGAATATTTTTTCCCAATATCTTTATGGCTGCTCTAGTCTACAACCTAAAAGGCAGAAGATACCTTCATTATGTCAGTCAATTCTAAGGTTGATTGCTCTACCTGTTGTCATTAACTTAGTATTCTTTATATTTTACTTCCAGATTCTTAAGTGTGTTCCTTGACCCTTATTTCTAGAGCTGATAGATCTTTTGCATGTTTACTAGAGTAGTAGTATAATGGGAGTTATGTCTCCTCCTTTAGTGTTAAAAACATGTTCACCATTTTCCAATCCAGCTTCCCTCAATATTCAGCATGTAGGTTGAATAAAGGGGGAATATACAGACTTACCACACTCTTTTGCCTACCTAGATCCAGTCTGTTTCACCGTGTTCTGACCATTTGATGGCTTATTGATCTGTCAACAGGTTTCTCATGAGGAAAATGAATTGTTCTGGGATTCCTATTTTTCTAAACTTTGCATAACTTGGCACGATCAACGCAATCAATGGGCTTTTTAAAAAAAATTGAAATACTAGTTGCCTTTCAGTATGCTTTGCCTTTCTCAATCATGCAAAGTACATGAGGAATAATGTATTCCTCATGTACTTGGCCTTTTCTAAAGCCAGCTTGAATATCTGGCATCTATTTTTCCATGTAGAACTCTAATCTACAGTATATTAGATGTTCTCAAGTGTTATTTTTGTAGCCTAAGTAATTAAGGATGTTGTATAATTGTACATTGTTAAATCCCCTTTATTTGGGACATTGCCATATGCTGGTTTTCAGATCTTCTGGTATAGTTTTAGAACCTTTATTCTTTTCTGGTTACTTCCCATATTTCTGTCACCATTTCATGTGTACACAACTCAATTCTCTTTGAAGATTAAAATACCCTCACAATTTTACACAGCCATTGTTCTTGATAGTGGTAAAGAGAGATATATTTGCGAAGTGACTATGCTGAACCCCTGATGTGCAAAAATACAGATGTCTCTCACTTGGGAATGGAGGATACCCATTTATCTTTGCAATGCAATTTGATTGTGCTTTTGACATGATTGAACTATACCATAATCCAGTTGCACCTATACACCAACCTACCATGTATTAATTAGATGCTTGCTGATCCTTTAATTTTTCCACATATAGAACTGGGTGAGGATGAGTTGTATGTTTTGAGAATGATAAAATATGATAAAACTAGTGAATTGATGTTTTGTTCTACATACTGATACACTTGTATCAAGTGTTTCCATGGCAAAACTACTGACTACTTTCCGAAGAATAGTAAGTAAGGTTGACATACCACTATATATGTGTTGTCAATTCAACTCTGTTAGTATTCTTGGAGAAACCTGGGTGAATAAACTCAGAGGCTAAAATCTTGAATAATAAGCACTTCAAGTACCAACGTTTTTTGTTGATTCCATATAGGATACCATTTATGGTTTCTGACTGATGAAAGGTCATCTCATGCCTCTAGCTGAATGATTACTCCCTGATTTAATTTAGTCTAGAAAAAAAAAAAGTGGAGGCAGAAGTGTAAAATATTTTATAAAAGTTCCAAACAGAATGAATTCTCTTAGGAGAAATTTACAGTACATTGGTTTAAAGTATTGTTGGCGAGAAACGTTATAAAATGTATTGTTACCTATTTCCCCAAAAGGGCTAATTCTGCTGTGGCTTTGGAAGTCTGTTGCTTTGCATCTTCTGGAGGCAGAAGGTGCCACCTTAGCTAAAATCTGACCTAGCTTAGAAGAAAGCTGAAGGCTGCAAGCGGAAAAACATTTGTATAACATTTTCCTATACTTGGAGAAAAACCAAAGTGCCCCATGGTAGCCTCCTTTTTCTTTCTTTTTAAAAAGTGCTGTTGCAGGGTCAGTTAAAAACCACAGATATCCTTCTGAAGCCTCAAGAATTGCTGGGTAGCAGCTTCTTAGGGCATACTATATACTATGATGGACTTTCACAATCTGGTGCCCACCAGATGCTTTGGATTTGAACTTCCATAGGGTTAAAATTCACACCTGAAAGGCATTATGTTGAAGAAACCCACATTAATAAAAAGATTTGTCTCTTTTTTTCAAAGAGAGAACTCTGTAGCCTTTAAGGAATCTAAAATACACGTTTAATTACTAGTTTTGTTTTGCTTAAGGGGGAAGTGGAAAAGGGAGAGAAAATGTCTCTTATCCTATTTTCATAAGATAAGCCTTTTTATTGTGATGAATTTTGCATCTAAGTAGGCAAGGATTAATTATCAAAGTAGCCCTTCTTGGATGATTCCATTGTATATGCTGGTTATGATAAGACTGTCCATCAAAATCTCCCTTATGCAATACTAGCCTCTCCCTGTCAGACTAGTTTCCTATAGTTGGGGAGAAAAGAAAAGAGTTTGATTTCAGACCAATCTAGTCTAGGCACCGTTTGGATTCCAGAGTGATTAATAGTTCCATTGGAGAAACCTTGGTTACAAAGAAGTAAATGACACTTGAGCTTTGATCATATCATGATTTTCCTTTTTTTAAAAAAAGAGTAAATTGAGGGTAGTAACCAAGTATTAAGTGAAACAAAGCCTTACCAATACAGACCAGAAAGAGCTGGTATTTTTTTGAAGTGTATGTAAAATGATTCCTAGGCTAGTTTTTAAAACCTGCCATTGATGTTGCTAAATTGAAAGTAAGGGAGAGAAAAACCTCCCTGCGTAAAATGCCAGCCTAGCCTGCAAAAGGACATAATACAAGCCAGTATTTAGTGCAATACAACAAGAGTAGCAATGGCCAAGCGTCTGCCACTTTTTTAAAAAAAATTTCTCAGCTCCTCAGTTTTGGGCAGCAGTTCCCTGGCACAAAGGAGCAGGGCACATGTTCTATAACAAAAGGGTTAGGAATTTTTTAAAAAAGCATACAAGTTGCAGCTTTGGTGTAAAGTTTGCTGGTGAAAATGGTGCGAATGCAGGCTTTGCTGGTGGTTCAAGTGTTCAGTCAGTGACCTCACTGTAATAATACTTCTGAGCTGCTTCTGTCATTTTCCAATCAGTGGCCCGGAACTCAATGATCTCCAGGAGTAGCAATTGGGAGAGGGAGCTGAGACCCTCCTGCAGAAGGAATCCATCACGCAGAAGGGAAAAGAGCTCATCCATCCTCTGACTGTTCATCTTTTCAAGCTGTTCGCCAATGCGGTGCAGCTGCAGCACCAGGCAGTCCACCTTAAGGCAAGAAAGCAATGGACTTCTTGAAGAATTGAGAGCATTACCACACACATCCTTGAGGCTTCTCTTCCAGCCCATTACCCACCCACAAAAATAAATGCAGCTCAAGGCCTACCTCACCTCTCCTCAAACTAGTACCATCCAGATACGGCCATTTTGCCAACAATTACGGCAATTGTTCCTTTTCCAGGTGCATATAGGAACAGTTTTATACTCAAAGTACATACTTTCTAAACATATTCTCATTAAACAATAGCCATTTGCATTCCTTCTTGGGACTTTGAATCATTCAATAACTTTTCCAATACTCTTGTTATATATTCAAAATATTCTACAATTTCATCCAAAAGTTCTGGTTCTTTTATTAGTATAATTCATTGGAATGTAACATGCATCTGACACTAACCAATGGATCCCTACTTTCATATGCACCCACAACAACCTACTTGACACTACTTAATATTTTCTAACACACACCATAATCCAGGTGTCAAACTCAATTTCATTGAGGGTTGCATTAGGGCTGTGGTTGGCCTTTGGTGGGGGTGGGGGGGTGGGGCAGACAGGCATGGCCAACTGGGTGGGCATATCCAACTTGACGCCATTCACTAAACTGCTGGCATGTTTCCTCTTCACACTGAGTAGACTGAGCTGAAGCCATGCTGGCCCAATGTTTCTTCTTTGCATCGGATAGACCAGGCCGAAGCGACGTGGGCCGTTCCCTTATATTTTCCAGGATGGCCCCACAGGCCAGATCCGGCCTTGTGTTTGACACCCCGGCCATAACTCCTTGATTCAGAACTCCCTTACACCTTGATTTCCTTGCATGTAATCCCCAAGTCCACTTCATAAGACAAGACTTTCTCCATTCAAGTTTATTCCACCTTTCCCTTTTCTTTTAGTTCTAATTATTCACCTGAGCTGTGATTTAACAGAATCCATGTTATCCGTGGCTTGTTCCAAGAAAACTCACCTCTTCCTCTTTCTGCAGACTATCGGGCTGTGCCAATCGGAAGAGGCAGTCATAAACAGGATTCACCAATGCCATCATGGGCATATTGTTGACCTGTTAACAAAGTGTGGACTTGTTATATTCATAAGCATTTTGAAATGTTTAACCCCCACCCACCCATCTTCAACTTATTACCACCACTTGGAGATTAAAAAAAAAAAAAAAAACTAAGCAAGTAACTATATTGTTAACTAAAAGCAGTGCAGAAAAAAAGCTTGTATTTTTAACTTATTTGGATGTTTGCTTAATGACTACAACAAAAAGTGTTTTTTAAAAAAACGGCTCTGGTCGCATTATGCCTTGACTTATGGTTGCAACGACTTATGACTGAAATTCTGAGCTCATGGTCATAAGTTGTGGACTACTGTATACTGAAGTTACTTAAAATAAGCTTTGGGAAAAGAGAGGCATGAATCAACACCAAGTCAACTCTGAATGTTGATCTGAGGCATTTGGGTGTTCTCAATAAGGTCCAGAGGTGGTATTCAGCAGGTTCTGACCAGTTCTTGAGAACCCGTAGAAATTTTGATTAGTTCAGAGAACTGGCAAATACCACCTCTGACTGGCCCCGCCCCCATCTATTCTCTGCCTCCAGAGTCCCAGTTGATTGGCTGGGTCTTCTTTTGTTGCCCTGCGAAGGAGAATGGAGCTGGAAAGCAGGTTCATGAGGTGGGGAAGGAATGGGTATTTTACAGTATCCTTCCCCCAGGAGTGAGGAGGGAATGGTGATTTTGCAGTATCCTTCCCCTGCCACGCCTATCAAGCCAAGCCCACCAAGCTATGCCCACAGAATCGGTAGTAAAAATATTTAAATCCCACCACTGATAGAGTCCCCTTACCCGCAGGTAATCAAAGATGTTACAGATAAAAGTGACGTAGCAGATCCATGCTTGGAGGGAATGGGCTCGCAACTCATCACGGCCCTTATACTCTTGCTGCAGTCGGTTGAGAAGGCACCTCCGGAAGATACTTTGGCCTGTTTGTTTGCTTTCCACCTGTGATAAACATCAAGCTGTTAAGTCCAAGGGAAAGCTATATATATCGATAGATAGATAGATAGATAGATAGATAGATAGATAGATAGATAGATAGATAGATAGATAGATAGAGATATATAGATTAGATAGAGATATAGAGATATAGATATAGAGATATAGATATATGCAATCAAAAGAAATTGCAGTCCCTGTTCCCTTTATATTGCTCACATGTATAGCTTTGCAGCAGTTGTCTGACCCAGACAATCATTGTCTGAGCCAGACAATGAGCTCACACAAACAGAGACCAGGAAAGGGGTCAGTGAGGAAAAGGATGGTGAAGGGAACTAATGATCTTCAGCTGTCAACAGAGAGTGACATGCACCAGATGTATCTCCTATTGGAACTGAAATTCGAAAACACCAGACATGTAAAATGGGGGGCGCTCTGAAGTTTTTCTCTAGGCCCAGGCCTAGAGGAAGAACCCAGTATTTTTCCTTTGCCTGTAAGTCATGAAATTAGGAGTCTGGAAAGGAAGAACTAGGTTAAAGTTACTCCAGCAAGAATTCCTATAAACTGCCTCCCAGCCAGTAGATATCATGTCTTGCACATTTGCTTCCTGGTCTTGAGGGAACATTGGTGGTAGCAGCACTGGATTTTTATCTCAGCATTTGTACAGTGGTAAGGAAAAGCAAGTGACAAAACACGTATGATATTGTAATACAAGCCTGTCCCATGTACTTGAACACAATAGAAATCTGCCCGCTTTTTCGGTGCAACTGGGCTTGGAAAGGAGACCCGTGTTCTCCCTCCATTTTTCTCTCTTACACACACACTGCTCAAACCCCATCCATAAGAAGACAAAACGTGCCTAAAGAAGCAGGAGCCTCTAGGGGCACAAAATGTGGAGGGAGGCAAAACTGAAATGGGTTATTTAATGAGTTTTGCTCACCAAGTCAGGGGCTGCAGTTGAAGGGATAGATTCAGCTTCTATCCTCTCCTCTGGGCTGGATACCAAACATGTTCTGCAGGTCAGGCCAAGCCAAGCTCCATCTGTGGAAAGGAAGCATGGCTGCTGAATGACAGGCATGCCCGGAGCCCTGCTTTAATGCAGCCTACAGGCTCTTTCTTATTAATTACACTGTGTTGTGTTATATTATTATAGTTTATTACGCATATAGCATACTATATGCAATATGAGGGGAGGATAGCATTATTGCATTGTTATTACTATATTACATTATACAAGTCTATCTCAGACTAGAAATGGGGACATCATCCCACCAGGCATGATGAAGACAATGCTGAGTATCAACAAACAAAATCCAAGGTGTGCTGTAGTTGGATGTGGAAAATGGCATTAAACTTCTTACTGATTCTCAGGAGGACTATTCGGTCTCTCACCTGAGTGATGGCATAACAGATGCGCCCGGCCTCTTTACTGAACACACAGTCTTTTAAGGACTGGTCAACAATTATATTGGCCACTTTCTCCCGATCCACGCTGCTGGGATCTACAGAAAAAGAAGCAACACTCAATTCTAGATTAAAAGAAATGTAAATCCATTTGATAGAAATTACATCAGCAGTGCCACATCAAACACTATTCCAAGTGAATTTGGAGACATGTACCAAAAATTTTGGTGGGCAAAAACAGGAACTGGGATATGCCAGTTTTTCCTACTTGCATGCCCTACAAGTGTGCTGAAGTACACAGTGGCCAGTAGTTTGATAAAATAAATGCCAAGTGTGTATTTTGGATTAGGTTATCAACAATTGGGTGCAACTACAGAAAAAGTCTTACATATGTGTGTGTCCTCTTTAGCTCCTGAAGAAAAAGCCTCAGGGGCAGAGGTTAAGGAATCAGAAGATTTTCATGGCAGCAAACAATCTCTTAATTTGTTTTAAACTCTGAAGATTGTGTGTTTGAGGGCCAAGGCAGAAATGGAAAGGCAAAATTGGGGGTGGGGGGGAAGAGCTACCAACCTTTGAGTGCTGTTTTCAGTAACTGCTGAACTTCTGAATCAAATGAATATATTTTATAGTCCTCTTTGCTTGTCTCCTCCATCCCTTTCCCTTGTTCAAGTGCTGTTAGGTCAGGGAAGCTGCTGAGTTAGCAGGACCTGCGAAGAGAGGAGAGATCATAATGAACAATTTCTTTGGACCAGGGATAGATGTGCATTGGTTCTTCCCTAGATGAGGCTCTATAACCCACGCAAAGAGAAAAACAGAAGTTGATAAAAGGAAATAAAAGCCTTGGATAACAAATGAAAAAATAAACCTGGGGAAGATTCTTTTCCAACAAGGGCAGCTAGTATTCCAATTGAATAATTGCTATTTCCGTAAAGCTGTGTCTCCTTCCTCTATTATTTCAAAACAAGGTACTTTAGTGTGCAAAACAATCTAACATCATTGGCTCCCCTGTTCCAGTAAGCTGAATGCAGAGTTTCTGAATCCAGGGCCAAGCAGACTGCTCAGTCATCAAAATTCCTCAGTTTTTGCTCAGTCAGGCAAAGGTGAGTTGACACGACAGGAATCCATGGAAAACATTTTGGAGATCTGGAATCTACTCAAAGAATAGAGGTTGGAAGGTATGTTCAAAGAAGAAGAGCAATTGCGTTAATATTCTATTAGCTTCCCAGTTAACATGTGGCGTTGGGGGATCCTGAGCGTTGTACTTCTTGGTCCCTACACCTCTAAGCCCATTGTTACATCATCTCTGTTTCACTTTCCTTATTCAATTTCATCTGTTCATTTGTTCACCTTTCCTCCCCAAATGTTAACAATTCTTTGTAAAGTACCATTCCTGAAATGGCTCTCTTTTTTCCATCCATCAATATGTTCCCTTGTCTTGAATTCTTCTCCTTTAACTTAATGAAACCCTTGCTTGTATCTCTTCTGCTACCTAGCCGCTGCCTTTCCCATTTAACATTTTTGAGTCAGGGTATATCAGGAATTCCTGATCATTCTGGTATCATGCCCCCCCCCCCCCACAAATAAATAAATGAATCGATGTAATCCTTCAGAAGTTGCAAAATTGCAACTATCAGCAGTTCCAGCCTGTCTGGCTGAGAGAGAGGAACGCTGGGATCAGCACCCTCAAAAGGCTGACAGCCAATCTACTGCAGATAGACCATATTTCAAAGGGAAATTTCCATCTATATATTTCCACCACTATCACACTAATTGAACATCTACATCTACATCTCTTTCTCCTCAAGACAAAAGTGGAACAACTGGAGGGTTCTTTGCCTTGCCCTGCTCCATGACTTTTTCCAGTTGGGCCAAGGGAAGAGAGAAAATGAAAGAAGGGTGAACCAGTATTTCCTCTTCTTCATACTCACCCCATACCCCACAAGTATTCTTCAAGTGAACAAAGCACTGAAAAAATTAAAGCCCTGCCATCTGCTGGAGATAGGGTGACATGTGCAAAACTGGAAGCCTTTCAGATCACACTTCTATTCTGTCTAGAGAAGCATTTTCTTACGCAAGTCTAAAAGCGACAAAGCAATCTCCCCCAGATTCACCCAGGAGTTCACAGCTTCATAGTATGACATGCTCTGCCTGACCCCTCTTGATTTGCAGTAATGCGATAAGAAAATCCTGCATGAGGATTGCTACCTAGTGAACTCAGAAAAATAGGGAGATATTTTAGTCCAGGAAGACACACACCACGCTAAGTTTAGTTCTGGCTTGGTATGTTGCATGAACCTAGGTCCTAGGTAAATGGAACTTATTCATCAAAGGATGAATTAAACAAATTACGATCCAAATGCATGTTTGAACTCCATTCCAGAAAAGAATAGTTGGAGGCAGCATTCAAAGGCCTGCTTTTGGAGAGCATTATGGTATCATCAAAACAACAATTATTTTTAAAAGCACTGTTGTTAATATTCTCTCGTTTTTATACTTTGTAGCAGCTATTATTACTAGTAAATAATTATACTGAATTACTGATAAACAAACCATTTTTCAAGTGGCTTCCAAAATAAAATAAAAAGTCCACAATTTTAAAAAGTCATCATTTGAAACAGGAGATGAAAAGCAGAATAAGAATTCCTTAGCAAAGGGAAGAGTTTTTAAAATCCAAAGGTTTGAGAAAATAAAATCTTCCTTAAGCAACAAGATAGAATCAAAGAGACACCAAGCCTTTCTGTCTCAAAAAGTTTTCTGTAACTGAGGCATTCTTATGGAGATCTCTATTTTTGAGAGTCCACAACGGGTCACTTGTAAATATATAAAGAAATACATAAGGAGACAGGCAGGTCTTCAAACCATGGAGATCTTTAAACTAGTGCCCTGAATTGAACTTCTGAGTAGATTGGGGGCTTGCCTCAATTTTTTACTTTATGGAATGCAGTCTCTTACAGGAATCTGTTGCTTTACTATTTTCTCTGCATGGAAAAATAGAGTTTAGGTATGTAGAGTCTAGTATAACACCTAGCTGTTAGTGTATTGCTTGAATAAAAAGGCAGACAATCAATGAAACAAAAGATAGAATAAAAAAATTACTTGTATAAAGTGAGGGAACTGGCCAGAGGTACAGCAGCCTTCATGTGCAGCAGGGGTGTCAAACCCGCAGCGTCAGAGCAGCGTCACATGACATATTGGGATTTTTTCCCTTCGCTATCTGGCCCACAGCTGCAAGTTTGACAGCCCTGATGTACAATCAATACGCACTGCCATGAACTGACTAAGGGAATGACAACTCCTTTTTACAACAACTGCTGTCATTACACAGCAATCTTATTAATGGGAGAGCACAGCCAGTTTTGTTATTGCATGGAGAATTCCCAACTGATAAGTCAGTTTCAACACATACCAGAGCAGTCATACCAATCTTTCTCCTATTCAGAGCATGTGACCACTAGTTAGGTTTCAAGATCAGTTATTTCTTTGCATAGCAAGTCAGCAATCAGTATGTTCTGTGATTGTTCTGACATGTATAGAAACCAGAGCTACTGTTGCCTGATGCCAGACCTCTGGAACTGGCCCCAATCCTGCTGGCCTTTCGCAAAGCTTTTGAAGACCTGATTCTGTGCCTGCCTCCTCATCATGTTAATGTCTTTTTAATGACTTTCCCAGCTGTGTTATGGATATATTTGTATTCATTTTAACACTGTAAGTCACTCTTAGAGTCATGTATTTGAAATTGGTGCCTACGCAGATGAAATAAATGATAAATGGGGTTCTATTCCATTTCCAACTCCTGAAAGTAACTTTTGGGGTAAAGGAAAAAAGTAATGGCAAACTACTTCAATATTGTTAGCCAGGATATAACACAGATATGTTCACCAAGTCCCTGCAAAGGAGCAAAACTGGAAAGACTCATTTCTTTTATACACCTACCCATACAACATTGGCTGACACAGTCCAGCAAAACCACCACAAATACTTTTGACTGATGGCTCTACAGGTAGTCCTCAACTTACAACAGTTCATCTAGTGACCATTCAACATTACAATGGCACTGCAAAAAGTAACTTATGGCCATTTTTCACACTTACAAGCATCTCCATGGTCACATAATCAAAATTAAATTGCTTGGCAAGCGATTCATATTTAGGATGGTTGCCTATCCTGGAGTCACGTTTTGATCACTTTTTGAGACCTTCTGACCACCAGAGGAAGCCTGATTCACTTAACAATCATGTAAGTAACTTAACTGCAGGGATTCGCTTAACAAGTGTGGCAAGAAAGGTTGTAAAATGGGGCAAACCTCACTTAACAAAACTCACTTAGTAACATACCTTTTGGGCTCAATTGTGGTGGTTAAAGTCAAGGCCTACCTGTTCTTTAAAAAACAGGCTTCCCAAGAGGGAAGCCAACTTATCAAGGGGGGGGCGGCCCGCCCCCTCCAAGAGACCCGCACCCCGACTTTCTCAGGCAGACCCCAAACAGCGAGAAGGGGAAGTCGGAAGGACACCCACCTGCTCTCTCGCCTTTCAGGCCTCCGATGTCAGCAGGGACGCGCCTGCATCTTGCCGCGGGAAAACGTCCCCCCCCGGGGGGGCGGGGGGCGGAGGGGCTAAACCTTTTTGGGGTCCGGCTCGGGTCGCTGGAGGTATATCAGAAAAAAGCCCACCACCAAAAAGAGCAGCAGCAGCAGCAAGAAAGGCAGCAGCTCAAGCATGGAGTGCAAGTGCAGAATGGGCATCCTTCGGGTATTGGCCCCGGCGGCCCCCCGACAATCCCGACAGAAGCGCCCAGCTGGGCTGACCCGAGCAGCCGTCGCGCGTCCCTCCGGCAGGCAGGCAGGCAGGCCGCTCTGGCTTTTCACTCACTTTGGGATCCGACGGCAACTCCTAAAACTCAGCTGCTGAGTGGGGTGCGTTTCCTCCCCCCTCCTCCTTCCCCCTTGTTTGCACAGCCGGAGGCTTCCTCTTAGGTCATTTCCTCGCCAGGATGTGTGGAAGGAAGGAGGAAGACGGTGACAGTTATACCGGCAAACAACGCCACCTGCCGGCAAACGCAGGCACACTCCTTTAAATCAAGGTTCTGAAGAGGCTGGGCAAGAGTTTACCTCCCTCACGAACGAAGGCAAAATACACGTGTCTCGGGATAACGTTGCAGGAATCAGGATCCAATCTGGGCCGGTCACCGGGACCAGAGGACTCCAGGATGAGCTCCAGCATGAATCCAAAGGCTCGGAAGAACTAACTATCAAGTCCCGGTGACCGATGGAGATTGGATCCTGCAAGAGTTAACCTGTCTGCTTGCCTTTCCATACTAGATTCTGCCATCCAGCAGCGAAAGCCTGAACCAGAAATAAGGAACATCAGTTAAATACACAAAGTCAGAGACAAAGTCAAGGATTTGGAGTGCTGGTCCAACAGCCAACTACTGATGTCTAATGAGTGATCACACACACACACACACACCCACACACACACACGCACACATTGTGCAGAAATATTATCCTGGGTATATTCATTACACGCACCATACTTTCGAAGTCCTTTTAAAAATCTTTTCATGTCTCCACTAATGCTATTGCTGCATACTCTCAAATGCTTTTCTTCAATCTACGCAGAGGCCAGGGACTGCATCCTCTACTACTGTTTTACATTACAGTACCTGAATTTAGAAGGGACACTACATTATACTGGTCATTGGATGTCAGAACTCCCTTCCTACAGAGATAATGTCCCGTTTTTTTAAAAAAATCTGCAAACTGAGAAGTCAGAAATGGGACAGGCTTTCCACAAACAAGTGGAATATGCCTGCCTGCCCTGCCTAAATGTTGAGTTGAAACTGTGGAAGAGAGATAGTCTTTTAGATAACCAGGTCACCAAGGCTTTATAAATCATAACCAACATCTTGAATTATCTCTGGAAACCTGCTAATATTCAGTGCAGCTATAGAGCAAAGATGCTACATGAGTAACATGTGGCATGTCCATAATTGCTTGCCACTGTATCCATATCCAGCTGTAGTTGAACAGCAACTCCATGTGCATCACACTGCAGCAGCCCTGGCGTAAGGTAACGAAAGCACGAATGGCTTCTTAAAAGAGAAGGGTACAATTGAGACACTGGTTGGATTTGTGAGAAGATTTTGCAGCCAGGAACAGAAGCTGTGTGTTCACGAAGGTATGCATAAACCCTGAAGGAGCAAGGGCAACCCAGTACAGGACTAAAAATAAAATATCCCTGACTCTGGAGGAGAAGCACAAAACCACACAGCCATCTAGTCTTATCAACGCTGAACTTGGAACCTACTCCTCCCCTCCAGGTTTTCACCACCTTTGCAAGCACTCAAATGAGACCTTTTTATTTTTAACAGACTCCCAAATACAATAATCAGACATTAAGGGCACTGTTTATAAAAAAGCAAGTTTATAAAAAGCCTTTCCCTGCCAAACATCCGCTGCCTTTCCCATAAGTCTTTCCTAGGTACTGCTTAGGTGCAGTAAAATGAAAAGGGATGTTTACATGCTGCTCCTCTGTTGGATTCTCAGAAGAGTGGCGATCGCAAAAAGAAAAAAAACAGTCCACAATTATGATAAATATAATTATATATTTATTTTTCTTTCAAGATAGACACATGTTCTGTGGACTAGAAAATTGGGTGGTCCAAACTGTCTCAGGCACAAAAAATAAATCTTTAAATGAAAAATACAGACACAGTGTTATAGATTAAGCATTCATGTTAAACACAGGGAGTGAACAAAAATTCAGTAATGGAATCTGAAACCTTGCACAACCCTAGATGTCTACAAAGATCATTTAGATTACAGTACTAGGAGTACAAGTTTGTCTGGGTTCTCATTGGCATAGGAGTCCAGCTAATAACCATCAACGGTTTTGGAGGTATGGCCAGAAACTGCAGACCTAACACTGAAGTATTAAAGTATACACTGATTTTGGCACTGTCATAAGGCACAATATCTTAACATTAACGTATTTGAGGAAGCAGATTGAAGGACGCACTAAAGGATAGAGGAGAACTGAAAGATAAGTGACCTGGCTTGTATTTGGAGACTACAAATGTCAAGTGTTCCTTCTTTCTTTGGATTGGTGAGACTTCATGCTTGCCTTTTAAGCTTGCTAGTTTGCATGCTTAAAAAGAAGGTAATTCTGACAGAAAGGCAGGTTTCATGAGCTAATGTACTGTATAGGTAGGGAAAAACACAAGAACCCTGGCAGGGTGTGTGGCATTCGGAAAAGACAGCTGAAGTTTTTACTCCAGACAAGGTAATTGCCCAAGTTCTTGACTGGGTGGGAAGTGGGTGGCCAGCAATTCCTTATGCCCCCGAATTCGTGCCTTTCAAAATTCGCCAGCAAGAACTATCTTCTTTGCAAGGCTGTTTACTTTGGGGAACCAGGGTAGTTATCTCTTCCAAGTTGCAAGACTCGGTTTTAAAGGTCCTGCATGAGAACATAGAACAAAGTTTGCACAAATCAGGGCCCTTCCAATGGTATGCAACGTAGCTGGAATGTGACTTTCACAGCTCTTATGAAAATAAATACAGATAAGAGTACAAAGAACAACCTGACCCCAGTAGGTAAGCAAAAGAAAGTAGCTTGAAACTTTCCTGCTTGCAGTCTCTGTACTTCTAAACAGCAACAGCTCTGATTCTACTGATTCAGCATGATTTGATACCAAAAGAATTAAAATCCTTCCTGCCAGTAGCGGAAGCTTCATAAAAAGAATTTGCAGATACTGCTGGAAACAAATCTCTTAATTTTTTTAAGCCTCTCTCTTTCCAGAAGCTTTGCTTATATCTTATCAGGTATATAGCAAACTGGAGTGTACTTGTGTATTACTTCAGTACCTTCAACTTAGCAGTGTATCTGAATGTGGATTGTCCTATGCTGAAAGGATGTCACGGAGTGGAAATCAACTTGATTGCTGTAAAAAAAATGGTGATTTCCCAACTCTTACTCTGTCAGGTTGCAGTCTCTGCTTTTTCCCCAGCTACTATGCAAAGGTTATAGAGTACAAAAATATCTACATAAATAAATATACACTATTTTTATGCTTTTACATTTCCATTTTACAGAAAAGTGCATAGAAAATGGGCAGGGAATAGAGAATCAGCTTCTTCCTGTGTATGAAACTGGGACTATGACAACTCATATTTTATGTCAGGCAAAACTGAATTAGTAGAAGAATATTCAGCTTGTGAGGACAAAACCTTAAAGCAAACTTACTTAACCAAATTGCTGTGAAATGTATTAATGTAAATACAGAGTATGTACCAGGAAACTGAGAAATCTATCTTTCCATGACTTGGAAAGTAAAGGCTGCAATTCTAAATGTGCATAGTGAGATTTATTTCTGAGTAAACTTCAACAAGATTGCACCAATTGTTTAATTTTCTTTATAGCTTCCATATATATATATAAAATTGGCCAAATTCAGCCAGGCAAACAATTCTTTTTTCACTAAATGTTAAGAGTTTGCTGCAAAAAAAATTCCGTTGTTATTCCAGAGCTGCTTCTTGGGGGAAAAGAAAGCTATCAGGGGATAAATATTGTTTTAAGAAAAATCATTACAATAATTTAAAAGATGTATCTTTTCACAAAATGAAACTGAATAATTGTGTAGTCAACACCATTTTTTCATCACTTTGATTCAAAATGTAAAAGTTTAAAACAAAAACTTCTTAAGCATTTAGATCCAGCATATGTGTTTTAGTAAGAAGGGAGAAGTTGATAGTGCAAAAATAGAAGTGTCGAATTTACAATCCCCTTGTATGCTTGCCCTCTATTTTGAATTTGGAGCAGTGGCAAAATATATTTATGTATGGGTAGGGCAAGAGGAACCATGAACTCTAATGGTCCTGCTAACACAGAAGGGAAAGAAAGGCAGATCTTCCTCTACTTCGTTTAGGATTTTGGCAACAGACAATTTCCACATACTCACTAATGAAACACTGTAAAATCACAGGGCCTGCAAGAACCTCAGCCAAGAGGCAAGCGAATGGGGGAATGACCTGACAGAACACCTGTAATATTTTTACTGTGGGGCTGAATGGCCAAGGCAGGTAGTTGTCTATTAAGCAAATGTCCCTAAATGCCAGGACATCCAGCTTATCACAGGCATTGCAAAATGGCCATGCTAGAGGAGTCTGGCCAGCCACTAGTCAATATACGGTTCGGTTTAAGGGTATAAAGTTTTCAGGGTCACAAAAGGGGATTTTGATATGTGACCCGGGGGTCTGATTGAAACCCTCTGTTATGAAACAGTAGAAAAAGTAGACACACCTTTGCAGCAAAGATCTTCAGAGGCCTTGATGATGAACCTCATCAAGACTCACAAACGCTGCAACTGCAGACTAAAGAGGCAACCTGAGCAGGTGTTGAGGTCAGCCACCGTTTCTGTTTTGAACCAAACCATTGAGTAATGTGCATCCTGGGCTTGGGCTGAGAGTCACTTGTCTCAAATCTCCAGTCCCATATGTCTTGCCTCACCCTTCAATCCCCAACGATGTTGGCTGCAGCTGCCAGAATTACACTCTAAGAACATCCACTGGAGGGGAAGGCAGGTAGCAGGTCTTGCTTGCATTAGCCTTCTTGCTTCTTGGAACCACCAGAGTCTTGCATTGTTAGCAGAAGACTGCAAAAGAGCTCATACCAGAAAAAGGTGAAGCCGGTGGAGAAAGCAGCCTTCAACATGCTTGGGGAGAAGCCCTTGAAGAATCCTCTGGGTCCCTCATCCAAGATTATCTGTCGGGCACAGTCCATGATGCTAGTGTAGGTTCGAACCTGCAGACACAAGAAGTGAGTGAGAAAGAGCAGAGATTCAGGCTGGGTACAAAGTCTTCTCTCCTAGATATAACAGGATGTTGGATTCAGTCTCATGTAATCATAGGGAAAAGTCATGGCAAGAAGTGCTATGTTAGTGCTCTCTCATGGATTCTGAAGCACCACATAGCCAGATTATGCATATTGGTCTCCAGACAGAAAATGACAAAAAGAATCAGGAATAGTATACTTAAGAGCTATGGATTGAGATTTAGGGGAAAAAAAGCCACCACAAACTGGCTAGTTGAACAAAAAAGAAACTCAGCCAAATATTTATAACACAGTTTTATTGTGAAAAGGTGTATGTTCAATACTTTGAAAGAAGAAGGTTGAATAAGGTGGCACCAACTAAGTTGTGCCTTATTATTACACAGACAAGATGTGAGAAGCCTTGAGTTCAGGTACTCCCACTTCCTCTTTTCTTCGCACACCATTTAAAACTACTAGGCTCTGTGTATAATAAAGCAATCTCTGTCAAAATACGGGCCATTGTGGCTTGCACAAACTGTAGTTTATTCAACTGCAAGCTGAGCAAAAACACAATGTGATGAACTGCCATCCTTCTGCATGAAACAGGATAAAAGGGCAGGAGGGAATGCACCAGCCCCAAGTTCTCATCTAGAAATAGCCGGGGTGAGGTGTGGGGGGGCAGCAATGGCTCCATTACAAGCAATGCATCCAATATACACTGAAAGGCTACAAGCATCAAAGCTACGAGATCTCAGTGGTGGGCAGAACATACTTCTAGTAATGTCTTCATCAAAGGCAGGGTTTCCCAACCATAGCAACTTCCTGGTGGGCGTACTTCAACTCCCAGAATCCCACAGCCCACATGGAGAATTCTGTGAGTGGAAATCCACCTACCTGGAAACACTAAAATAAGGGAACGAGAGCAGGTGAGGCAGAACTCCTATTTTAGATATTGCATAAAAGGGGAAAGTCTGGTTGTTTCAGCGGATGTACCCCGCTGCCTGATATATTTAGCATGGAAAAAGAGAGGAAAGGGAACAAGAAAGATCTCCACAAGTCAAATCCCCTTCTCACCTGCCCGAAGGCTGCCCTGGCTTGTTCAAAACCACCTACTTGCAGTCGCTTCTTGAACAGGTCAAAGGGATAGGTCAGGGTTTTGCTGAGGACACCAGCACAGCTGCCGCACACTAAGTTTCTAATATTACCTGAAAAACCAAGAAGTTAAACGTGGAAGGAAGCACTCCAAAGCTAACTCTGATCCTGCCCTTCAAAGCCCTGGACTGGTCAACATAGGAGAGTCATGAGCCACACGGGGGTAGGAATATCTTTATGAAAGGTTCTCAGTGGGTACCTATTTACTTACTGATATCACACTTACAAATTGGCCACCAGTTGATTTCCAACCTTGAGGTAGCAGACTTTCTAAGCCCAGCTTGGGGACAGACAGCCCACCCGGTATAACCGCGAGCTCACCTGCCCCCCTTTTCCCTGCCCCGCCATTAGCACCAACCTTTCTTCATCTCTTCGCTTGGAACAATCCAGTTGTACACTCTCTTCAGGAGACTGTAGAAGGAAAACTGGAAGCCGGCATAAGGAACAATGGCAATTATGGTTGGGCTGAGTCCCCTATAGAAAGTCAGGAGCCCTTCCTTCTGGTACATGCTGACCACAGCATGGCGGAGGTTCCTGTAAATCTAAAACAATTTAAGGAGGAACATGTTTCCTTGACCATGATGCAAATTTTGCTCTCAGTATGGAAGCTAGATTTCAGCTATGCTGTCAAAAAGCTCCATTACCTAAATGGGATATCTACACTATTTACACTTCTGGTCATCATTGTATGATGGTTGGTCGCACAGCCAGTCAGATGTTTACACTGGGTTTGGCATTTTTCTCCATCTATTGAATCCTTCCCCAAGACCTGAGATAGGCAGATGTTTGATGTTCTTAAAGGTGTTATTGTCATAGGCACAACGTGTGAAATCACAGCTACCAGTTCATTAGCTGCTGTTGGCCTACATACTCATTGAGTTCTTCCCAAGAATATAGGATGTTTTAATGTATTGGCAGATCCCAGCAGTGTGGCTATTATTTATTCGCTTTTCTGCTCTGAAGAGTACTCAAGTTGGAAATAATTTTTGTTTAAGGAATATAAAACTTCAAAAGCCCATCATGATAAAATCATTACTAAAAGCAAGTAACCAGTTAAAAACTCGATGAGAGAGAGAGAGAGAGAAAAAGAAATATCCCTATGGATTTCCTAAAGACTGATCTCAGGAAGCCTCTCCCCCATGTGCCAGGCAGAGATCTCTGGCAGCAGAGGCCCTGTGCCTTTTTGTCATGACCAGACAATCCCTGTGCTACCCTTTGCTCCTCCCACACAGCTGCCTTCTCAACGGGGTACTGAAAAGCAAAATGATCTATTATGCAAAGTACAGTTCCTATGATGCCTATCTGGACAATAAGATATAAACTTGCACAGCTAATATTCTGCAGGCATAATAATCCTTCTGTGGAAAAGAATTTCTGAGCACAGAATTTCAAATTTGTGTAAGAGAGGCAAAGACTGTTCCCACAGGAAACTTAACACCTGAAATTTAACATGTATTAGAATAAGGAGCTTCTGGAGATAAAACACATGTTTTCCTGGGTGAACAGTGATAGACCAGGAAAAGAAGCAACTTCTTTTACGGAGCTGCTGACAAGTAAAGAGACCCTGACCGTCTGGCTGTGAAGTACCTCTTCCACTTTGCACTTGAATACTTTGTACTAAAATGGCTGGATTCAAACATATTAAGCCAAAATAACTCTGCTTTAGTAAACAAGCCATATTGATCTAATTCCCACATACTGTAAACCTTGATGGATGGTGATTCCTATCTTTCAGGTTGCTTCCCTATCAGGTTTATAGCTTTTCTCAAGATGCAGGTGTTTATCAAAGTCTTCCCTTCACCCTTTGGGACTCTGCATACTTATTTCTTCATCAGCCCCAAGCACTCCTCCTAGCCTTGCCTGTCAGTTTCCTAACATATCAACCAAGAATCTTGTGACACATAAAGAGGACAGGCCCTCCTCTGTCATCCATGGAAGTCATAATCCATCCAAATAGATTAGACCTAAGGAAAATGGTAAGCTATGAGGAATTATTAGTCAAGGAAAATCAAATCAAGAACTAAAGGAAAATGGAATCATAATTGATGGTGGCCATATTTGCAAATCCAAAATATAAAAAAGACTTAAATTTTTTTGGTTTTGACAAAGGGCAGAATCAATTAGATAAAATCTTAATGGGACCGGAACAAAATTTTTTAACTAAAATATACAAATACTTATTAGACTTCAAAATGGAAGAAGAAACAGTCAAAGGCACAATGATTGCATAGGCACAGAATTTTGGACACACTATAGAATTAGAGGAATGGGAGAAAATATGGAACGTAAATTATAAGTTAATGGTATCCGCGGCATACAAAGAAAATAGGTACAAAATGTTTTATAAATGGTGTTTAGCTCCAAAGAGATTGGCAAAAATTTATCCCAACGTAAGTCCCAAATGTTGGAAATGTAAAAAAGTTGATGGTACATTTTATCACATGTGGTGGTTGTGCCCCAAGACCAGGACATACTAGATCCAAATCAAAAACTAGTTACAAGAGATTATTGGGTACCAGATTGAGCTCAGACCAGAAATCTTCCTCTTAGGAATCATCAAAGATAGATTACCAAAAGAAGTAAAATATTTATTGCTACACATTACAATAGCCACCAGAATAGCCTTTGCGCAGGTATGGAAAACTCCAAATACCCTTAACGAAGAATTAATAATACATAAAGTAATGGAAAGTGCTGAGATTTACATGTTAACATTGAAACTGAAAGAAAAAGATGACTCTGAATTCTCTTTTTAATTTGGAACAATTGGTATAAATGGTTAACAAACAGAACTAAGAAGTGAGACAAAAAACCTAACTGGAATAATCCTTAAGAAAGTAAAACATAATTTCATACATTATACAAAGATATAAGAATAGTAATCATAGTTAAAGCTATTATTAAATATTAAACAAATGTAATATAATGTATTAGGATATTTAAACTAAGAACCTGTATAGATGCCAAGAACGCTGTTGATACCATGATGTTTTATGATGTAATAAAAGAAACTCAATGACAGTCCCTCCTATGAAAGCTTATGCCATAATAAATGCATTAATCTCATAAATGGCCCTAAGACTCTAAGTAAATTGGAAACGAGTCAGAATGGCACCATTTCATTAAATAAATACTGTTGGTGTAAAGTAAGGTGCCAGAATATTCTCCAGGTAGCAAAAACAGAATTAATCTGGAAGCACTGGGGTGGGGGTGTGGGGAAATTTTTCATCCATCTCTTACCTTCGGTTCTCCTTGGGCAGCCAAGCGAGTGCGCAATGTGTCAAGAGGCTGAACTGTTATAGTAGCAGCACAAGCAGACAGACCGCCACAGATAAAGTGCACAGTGAAGTCACGAGCATCGTAAGATGTGCCATGGTGTGCCAGCTTCGTCAGAAATTCAAAGCTGACAAACTTGTAAAAGAAAACCAAAACAATCAGAAATGTACATATTTGATTTTAAGAGAGCCACCAATCACACAATGGTATTTTAAAAGAATAATTTCTGTTAATGCATGTGGTCCAAAAATTCAGGTTTTGCATCTCTGAAGTAATTAGATAAGTACTAATTACTATGCTGAATCTTTTTTCACTTATTTCATTTATAGGATTTAGGATGGTGGATGTCTCTGGAAGTCCATAAGTATCAGTAGAGCTGCATAGTTGGTTAATTTATGGCTCAATGGGTTGAGTGGATCCAGTTAACATAGTTAGTTTATGGTTTAATATGCTACAATATCTGAACCTTAATAATTAGGTAAATCCTTCCTCAATTTATACTGAGTTAGCATGTGAGCATACCCAACATCTGAGAAAGAACCATTTGGACTCCTCAGAATTACATCAGTTTACAAACTAGTATCCAAGATAGATTATCATTAAATAATCAAAACAAGAAGAGGCAGCTGAGGAACTTCCAGTTTGGGCTTTTTTGGCGACGGACCGAAATTGCGATCGTCTGCGGTTTTGATCCGTGCTCGTCGCTGGAGTGCCCCGAGCCGTGCAGATTCGGGGCTGAAGCCACCCCATAGAGGTGGTGAAGAGCGGGGAGCTGTCAGTGGGGTTGAGGAGAGCCGCATCTCTCCTCCTCGGCCGGCCATTACTCCCTTTCCCAAAGGCGGTTGCAGCGGTGGTCAGAAATGGCCACCTCAAAGAAGAACCTGACCAGACAAGATTGTGCAAGAGGAAATTTAAAGGAGAAAGTATGACTGACTGGGTTGAATGGAGAACATCTATTTAAGGTACCTGGAACCTGAATTTTAAAGACTAATACTATTCCTAAAAAAGATTTTAAGCTGAGAAAGAGAAAGGGAAAGGAAACGGAATTGGCTTTTTTCCCTCTAATATCAACAGTTTTAACTGACTTGGCACATTAAGAAGAAGAGATTCGAATAAGAAACTGATACTAATCCACTTTGACATTAATAGGCTACTTCTAGCTGAAAATAAAGTGTCAAAGGGATAAAGATTCTTGGATAATTTAAAAACTTTCTTTAAAAAAAGAAAGAAAGCAGGGGAGGGATAAAGGAAAAAAGAGGGTGGAATCTGGAAAATGGAGGAGACCACTTGGAACTTTAAAAAAAATATTGACAGTGGCATTTTAACAAGGTTTGCAAAAGATACATTGTAGGTAAAACTTTGTTATATGCAAAACAAAGCCCCTGGAAAGAGAAAGTGAGAAAAGAAGCAAGAAACAGTTTTGGATTATTGGATGATTCCTGGAACTTTGGATGGAGGATTCTAATGAAATAAAATAAAATCAATTGGGGGTTGTTTAAAATTTTTTTAAATGGCATCACTCCTTGAAGAGTTAAAAATGAGACTTAAAGAACAAAAAGAAGAAGCACAAGACGGAAGAGGATCTTTTGGCTTCGTATTTCAATTTTTAGAAATGGAGATCTTGAACTATGAATAACAACAAGAAACGCTGGCAGAAGAAGAAGGGCTTGACAATGAAGAAGCCATCTTTAATGACCAAGCAATTTTAAACAGGGTAAAAAAGGGAAAAGGGGGGAAAGGGAGTTAAAAACTTTAGCACTGAAGCAACAACCCCCCAAAAAGAGTAATTTAAAAAGTAATCATAATATCAGGAAGAAGCAGAAGGGAGGATCACAGAAGGGAGAATCAGATAGAAAAGGGAATAAAAAGGGGAGGGAGAAGAAGAGAGGGAAGAGGGAAAGGAAAAGAAGCTACAAAAGACAGAAACAAGATATAGAGGTACAGGAAAAACGTACAAGAATTAAAGGTATAAACCTATTTAAAAGACACAGAGACAATGGTTAAAATTTAACTTAAGGAGAGGATTCTGCAAGGGTGCATAGGATAGCATTGTTATATTAGAAATAGAAAAGGGTTAGAAAATATGTTAGATGATTAAAGTGATAGAAAACATTCTATTGATGTGTAATGGAATATTTGTTTGTAAAGAGAATAAGGCTCTCAATGATTTAAAAATAACGTTTAAAAAAAACTGAAAAGAAACATGGAAGATTTTTATCAGTTGACAAGATGAACTTGAATAAGAATAATAACTTTATTGACTACTGTTAATAATTGTTGTTTGGTTTTTTTATTTAAATATTTTTTTATTTAAAGATAGTAATAAGTAAAATATGAAATATAGATGATTAAAGTGAAAGACAACTGATATTACTAGGTAATGTTAAAAGAAATAGAAATGTAAAAGATTGTTATTAATATTAATGCGGAGCTGTACTTGAATAGAATAATTATTCCATTTAATATTGTTATACATATATACACAGATAAGAATTTTGTGTGTACTTTAAGGGAATGTACCAAGAAGAATTCGATTGAAAATAGGTATGTGTTACAAAATAGAGGTTAGAAAATGAATGTTATAACTGTAAAGATGTAACTTAAATTTTTAAATAAGATTTGAAAAAAGATACAAAGGTGTTACGCTCCAGTCTAGTAATTACAGGGGGAAATTTGTTTTATGTGAAAAGATAATATGAAATCATAAACAGGACAGACGAAAGTATAAAAACATTGATCAGAAAGATTTTAAAAATTAGAAAAAGATATGAATGAAGAAAGGAATGAGATAATTTAAAATAAGGCTATAGGAAGTAAAGAAAGGGAAAAGCTATTGAAAAAATTTGCGAAAATAGTTATAAGATATGGATTAGAATGTATAAGATAAATATGCATTGAGTTTATGTCTGCATGGAGAAGTGATAACCTGGGTCCACGCTGTTTTCAAAAAAAGATATTTTATTTGTATTTGTATATTTTGTGAAAACTTCAATAAAACTTTTATTAAAAAAAAAAAAGAAGCGGCAGCTGATGTGCTTCTCATCCTTTGGCAAAAATCAACAGATTTTATTTTGCATTTCAGGATCTGGGATGCAAAGTTGTAGCAAGAAAGTGAAATCAGAGAAAATAGAGCAAAGAGTTTTTTGGGCTCTAAGAGTGAGATTTACAGAGTACAAAGTCTGGACAAAAGAAAACAAGAGTATCACTCTTGTGCAAGCATGGAGGTTCTTAATTAACATTTAAAATTATTTAAATTAACTCATTACCAGAACAGAAAAAATGTGCAGAAAAGTTAATATGAAATCCCAAGTTTTGCTAAGAATAAATCTTTAGTCCCAGAATCATAACATTCCATGTTAACAACTCAATTGTGTCATATTAATTCTAAAAAAAATAAAATCAGTTTTTGAAAAGAAACACAAGAAGGCAGCTAAACAGATCTCTCTGGAAGTTATGAAAATTGTCAGTTTTCAGGTTGAATAGATAAAATATTATTTGATTCTCACCTGGACAGCCCCATATGTGATGGAAAGAAGTTGAGCAGGGACATGACCTTTCCAAAATGCAGTGACCCCCTCCTCCTGAAAAATCTTACCAGCAGCCTGCCAGATACCATGATACTTCGCATGTGGATTTTTGGAGGAAAGCTGCTCTATCTGAAGCTGAAAAATGATAGCATGAGTAAACTTTCTAATACTTATGTGGAAAATTTAAGACTCCAAAATATCTTAGGGCCATGATATTATCATCAGAAATGTCTTAGGCTATGGTATTTTCTGATATACACTTATTTATCTGGAAATAATCACTATTTACCCTGGCAAGAAATAAATAAATACAGGTAGTCCTCAACTTATAACAGTACATTTAGAGCAGTGGTGGTATTCAACTAAAGTTGCCACCGGTTTGGTGGGCGTGGCTTGGTGGCCGTGCTTTACACGCGTGCACACTTTGCATGCATGTGCACGCCAAACACGCACTTTGTGCAGGCACAGAGGCGTTCTAACTTGCCTCCTGCAAGCCTGCACGATGCTGGTTGCTGCAGCAGCTGCCATGTGGCGCTATTGTGCGCCACGCAAAACAGCTGTGCTTTAAATTCTGGCCATAAAAGTGAGTATGGGAGCCCGGGAGAGCAGGTGGGCCAAACACAGAGCAGTGAAGAGAACTGGTTCGGTCTCCACTGCTCATCGCCGCTACCGGCTCTCCAGAACCGGGCAGAACCGGTTGAATACCACCGATTTAGAAACTGTTTAAAGTTACAAGGGCAATGAAAAACAGTGACTTTTATTATTTACACTCGGATACTTTACAACTGGTTCATACTTATGAAGGTTGCAGTGTCCCGAGGACATGTGATCATCTTTTGTGACCTTCTGACAAGCAAAGTCAATGGGGAAGCCAGATTCACTTAACAGCCAGGTGACTAATTTAACAACTGCAGCGATTCACTTAACAAATGGGGCAAGAAAAGTCATAAAATGGGGCAAAACTCACTTAACAAATTTCTCAGCCACATAAATTCTGGCCTCAATTGTGGTCATAAGTCAAGGACTACCTCTATTTACTTTGCTACTTTAGAATAGGCATAGGCTTCCCTAGCCTTCCAGCAACTTTAATCACCTGGAAGGTCACACATACAACACTGGCCTGTAATTTCAGGAGGCTCATCCCAAACTTTGTGCAGAAAGTGAAAATATTAGACTACAAAATCTTCCCAAAAGTTTAGAATATGTAGAAGGGAAATTCAATTAATCATCTTTTCAAGGGGCCAAAATATTTTTTTAAAAAACCCTGGAGTAAACAAAGCAAATCTTTAAACATCCTTAGGTAATAATCATCAGGCTTCCTTGCCAAAGCAGTGCAACACCCAAGGAAAACCACTACACTGAGTTGCACAATACAAGCACAGGAACTACTATGCTAAATCAAGCGGGAAGGCTTTCTAGTTAGTACACTCTTCCCAAGGGGCTCCTCAGATGCTTGTGGAAGTCCATCTCACAAGCCAAGTATGTCAGGAAGATACCTGTCACCACCTGCCTCCGATTCCATACAACTATTGTAACTCTTGTAGTAGCTCTGAATAGCTGCATCAGTGCCTTCAACTAAAGAGCCACCTTCTGTTCCTTTAAACGGGGACCAACATCTTCAGGTGAAGGAACCGTCAGCTGCGTTTGTCTTGATGCAATTCTGTCATTATGCAAGCAGCTGAGGGGGAAAAAACAGCGGGCTCTGTCATTAAATTATACAACCTCTGGAAATGCAAAGCTAACGGCCAAATCAGCTCCTTAGAAGAACGTTAACCCTCCGTCCGTTATCCACCTTCCTCTTGATTGTCCGACGTCATAAAGATAATACCTGAAATCGAATCTTCAGCACATCAAAAGGGCCGATCATTGCCCGAGTGACCAATCCGGAAGCGGATCCTGCCGCCGCTACTTTCAGAGTCGAAAGGGAGCTACACTCGGAATCCGGATCATAGCCAACCATCCCTACAAGGTCTACGGACCTTGCTCTCCATGCACGACCCCACCCGGGCACCAACACTGGAAGCAAAGGGCAAAAAAAACAAAAAAAAGGAGTCGGATCGAGAGCGGATGCCGGAGAGCTTCAGCTACAGCTGAGACCCTGTGTGTGTGTGTGTGTGTGTTTACAAAGAGAAAACAGTGCATCTGAGCATGTTTAAAGTTCCATTCCCCCGCAGCACTGAAGAGCCGCACGCCGGCTTTGCGCGGCCGTGAACCGAGCACGTGTCGTCCTCAATCAGCCTGCCCGGCGGCTGATTTTGTGGCTGCCTTGAGAAATAGACGCGGCAGCACCAGCACCAGCACCAGCACCAGCACCACCACCAGCCCAGGTTTCCCCTCTGCGACCCTCCCCGGGCATCGCGACCCTCCTTCGGCTCCAGTGAGGCTCACCCAAGAGCGCGGCTTCCCACGGCAACGAAATGCGGCGACCAATCGGAGCCTTGGCAAGGAGTCAACCCGGCTCCACCCGAGGACCCGAAGGACGGGTCTTGAAGGACGACCTCACGCGGCTCTCGCTCGGGATGACAGCCGCCGGGCTCCCTGGGAAATGTAGTCTGCAGTGCTGTGGTGCCTGAGGAGCGAGGCGGGAGAAAAGTGGGAAGCGACGGCTTTCTTTTAAAAAGGCTCTGATGAACGGCCATAGGCGGACGCGTTTTAAGTGGTCTGGGACAGATTTCTTAAAAATTAGCCAAAGGAACCGCACAACCCGGAGAAGAAGTAAAATACAGATCCTTTCTGACTGCTGGACGCCACTCCCGTGACTCTCCGGTAATTTATTCTCGACGACGGCAGCACCAGGAGACTTCAGTAAAGAAGTCTCGTATTTCTCTGGAAACATCTGTACATGGGGACGGCACAGCAAACCTTTCCCATTTTCTAGTTGCAGGGATAGGAAAGAAGGGAGATGTGTCTCTGTTTCTTGTGGGCTTTTTATTAAGGCGTGGCAGCCATGCACAAGTTTTGAAGACGTTTTTTCCCTGCCACCACAAAGCGGTGTATAATATAGTTTGCGAGCATAATTTAGTCCCATATCTATCAAAGATAACATCTGTTCAGAGGATGAACCGAAACGAGTTTTCCTGTCGTTTCCACCGTTTGTATTACATGGTGAAGCTACTTCAACAAGCAGCCTTGATCTTACCCTATCAGAGTTTGAGTTTTTATTCCTAACTCCAGGTTGGGGTATCAAAGGGAAATAAAGACTATTTAGCTGTGCATAATTTGTGTAGTTGAACCTGGTACTCTTCAATTATGTTTGGTTTTAATAAGATCTGATGTTATAAGAAAGAGTTGAAATCCAATGCCATCTGAAGTTGCCAAGTTTGAGGGAAACTAATGCAAATCAAAATCACATGGCTGAATTCACACATGAACTAAGCTAGTACAAAATTATCAGTTTGTGGAGTAATGTAATGTTAAATGAATGTTAATACATTATTCAATAAGGTATAGTTAAACTAGCTTAGGATAATTAGAAATCCAGACTTTTGTGTCTCACTCAAACCATTATTGAAAGCATTTGCACCAAGACAAATTCCTTCCAAATCACACTTGGCCAATAAAGAATTATATTTTATTCTATTAAATAAATCAGGGTAATATATGAACTCAGCCTCTTTTACCAGGTAATGCTGGTGTGTCAGCTATATCCTTCATCTGGAATCAGTGAATTGGCAATCTAGCTAACAATGTACCATAGATTTCCTCTGAACATAATATAGAAATTGTACCGCTTTAAAGACATTGTGCAATCACATAGCAGGATTGACTGCTTTGAAGAAGGGGAAAGGGGGAAGCTGTGATTTGCCTATAAACCTCTGCCATATTGGGGCAGTCCCAAAGTACCATCACATCATGCCATTGAAATAAAATAGCAAACAGATTTGTGAGAGGAGATGAAATTTCTTTTCAAATACTGTATATACAATATCTGTAAACCATATCAATCAGAAAAAAACTGGACAATGCACAATAGGGAGAAAAAAACAAATCTGAAAATATTCATAATAAGCAATCAGGTTAATAAATAAACCATAGCATGCTCAGATGCCTGTCCCTAATCACATTATAAACCAAAGGTTCACTTTTAACCAAATGTTTTTAAGAGCCTTCCAGGATGCAAGGAGAGTAGAGCCTGGCATCTTACCTGAGGAAGCAAGTTCTCCCCACCAATTTGCCAAGGAGGCACAACCACTTTTGTCCCTGGTGTTCCTCCCACTGGACTCAGCTCCTGCGCCGCCCCAGAAGAGCAGCCACCACTGTCCAGCCACCGCAGTTGCTCAGACACTGGCAAGCCAGGGCCTCGGTGTCTCCATTCAGGCACCTCCTCCTCCAGCATCCCACGTGGAAGCGGCACTGCAACAGCCCGGAGAGGGGCAGAGCTGTGGGCCAGGACGGGCAGGCCAGGGCTTCCCTCCCTCTCCGCCTGAATGGGGTTCTTGTGTGGTTCCAGCCCATGGTGCATCTAGTGTGCGAGTGGCTGCATTAGCTGGCTAGTCACTCTGGCTTTCTTGCAGCAGCGGCAGCGGCTGCTCCTCTGAGGAGGCGCAGGAGCTGAGCCGGGTAGGAGGAACACCAGGGACAGAAGCGGTCACGCCTCCTTGGCAAATTGGACTGAAGGCTTGAACTGCTTGAATTAAAATACCCTGACCACAATTCAACTCAAAATTTCTGTTGCTAGGTGAGATAGTTGTTAAGTAAATTTTGCCTCATGACCTTTCTTGCCACAGTTGTTGATTGTCAGTAAAGTCAGTAACACAGTTATCAGGGGAATCTGGCTTTCCCAGTGACTTTGTCAGAAGGTTGCAAAAGGCAGTCACAACCCCAAAACACCACAACTGTCATAAATATGAGTCAATTACCAAGCATCTGAATTTTGATCACATGACGGCATGGGTGTCAAACTCGCGGCATCATGGTGCTGTCATATTTCACAATGTTTTTTCCCTTTGCGGAGCTGGGGTGGGCGTGGCCTATGCATCCAGCCTATGGGCCTCCAGTTTGACACCCCTGAGATACAATAATGGTCGTAACTCTGGAAAATGGTCATAAGTGTCTTTTTTCAGTGCCACTGTAACTTCGAACCATCACTAAATGAACTCTTGTAAGTTGAGGACTACCTCTATTGGCATCTTTGTGATTGGAGACCTCTGGATGCTGCATCAGAGAAGAAGGGCACTTATGCTGGATCAGTTCTATTAAATCTCCCCTTCAGAGCTCCAGCAGACTCTGAGAGCTGAGGATCCTAGTGTCTACTACACTTTGTTGCCATATCAAGGCCCTTCCTTCCATTCAACATGCCATGGCAGTATTAATACAATTTGATCATGATGTCTTGTAGATAATAAATACTTATATGCTTTGAATGAGACAAAACACCCCAGATCAAAGCCTTGTGGACTGAACTGAAAATATATGCTACCGATGTATCCAAATGCATTTGTAGTCCTAGGACAAAATCTCAATGATTGGGCTCTAATGATCACACTCTCTACACAAAGCAGAAATGACATCCTCACAATCCTGACGACAACAGATTTCTCCTCACACATAGGTCAAAGAATCAACTATCAAACATTGGCAGATCTCTGAGTGGCTTAAACTGTCTTGGTAAGTTAACCACTACATTCTAAATGGGGCCTTTGACCATATAGCCAAACTGACCTATCTATCTGGCCCAAGAGAGTGTGCAATGTATTATATAATTGTTTCTAGGGACCTTCTCCCTTTTGTCAAGGCCCTAGAAGTTACTCCTAAGTTTGATAGTGTTCATCTCCCAATTTGCTTTATTTAAATGTTTTCACTCAAGGAACATATACTGAGGGTTGCTACCAACCCTTATTAAAGCCAGCAGGAAGAATTTACCACCAAGCTAAGTGGAGCCCATATTTAAACCAAATGATAACCAAGATATTGGCCTCAGATCATTGATGGTACCTACAGTCTGCCCTGATATCAGCTGAGCCTCCTGATGCACTTTTAGAAAACTGTAATGCCCATGTCTAAGAGCTCCACATATATTTAACCCATGGTAAATGATGCACCCTCAAGACAACATTGCCACTCCAAATCATAGTTTGACCAGGACTGTGTTAGTGGCAAAAAACCACAACCCTCTCACTACCACTTACCAGTCTTGTATATCCAACATAGCATAAGCTGCACCGGATTTCTTCCAACAGAAGAGAAACTATAAACCACTGCTGACATGCAAGAAAAAGGAAGCCATAAGAAACAAGCGGGCACATCTCATTCAGGCAATCAAAGACCCAAAGACTCAATTCCATCACATGACATCAAGCTCCCAAAGCAACGGTCCATCCACGGTGGACTGCCACGTTCCCCCAAAGACTCGGGAGGGCACATATTCAGGAACTATACATGGATACTCTGTGAAAAGTGGAAGTCCTAGCCAAACTATAGAAAACCCGGCAATGTGAGGATTAGTGACAGTGAGAGAGATGAAGAATCTTGTTGTTCAACTAAGATCAGGAAAGACCACAGGAGAAGACCTGATCTTAAATTATTATTATTTAATAGTAACAAACTTCTGGGCTCCCACTCTGACCTTGCTCTTTACCTGCATAGATACCCGTGGCTGAATCCCCAAGGATTGTCCCCAGACACGTATCTAATCAAAGTGCTTCACATTTTTTCTAATGTTGAATGAGGGTTTGGTTTTTTTTTAATGGATTTGGTAAGGCCATCCAATTCTGGGAGTATACAACTATTCCAATACATATATTAAAAACACTACTATAAACCTTAGGACTGCCTGGACCAAAATGACACTCCCTAGCTCTGCTCCACAGCCACCCCAATCCCAGACATGGGACCACAGCCAGTCTAAGAGATTTCTAGAAAGCAAGGAGAGAAGGAGCCCTTGTATCTCCGGGAATGCTCTTCCAGGGGGGGCGAGGCTGCCACAAAGAAGGCATGCTTCCATTGTCCCATAAGACGACAAATTTAAGTAATGGGATTTGGAGAAGGCTGACTCTGCCTGAACGCCTATATTTGTTGTTGCTGTGGTTACTTACTGTCTATTTAGAGAGTAGTGGCAGCATAGGCTCACTGGCAGCCAAGATTTAAATGTCAGCCATATGCCTTCTACTGCACAGCTAACAATTTAAGTAACAGGTAAGTGTATGTTTTTCCTTTTTAAATATAAGCTTGGATGAATATGTCATCTAGAGAGGTGATATTTGCCTAAAATACATTTTGTATGCAGAATGGAACACAATTTGCGAGCAGAACTCAGCAAAGATCACATCGGTGGTAGGTTATCAAGAGAACTAAAAGAATTGTTTCAAAACAGTTTTGCTCTTGTATTTTAATTTCCTTGCAGCATATCTAGAATTGGTATGAAGTTAAAGTATAAAAAAGTATAAATTCCATTCTGTAATAATGCCAAATTAAAAGCTTCTTTTTAAATTCAAAATCAAGCAGGCAACAAACCTCTCCAACTTGTTTGTCTGATGGGCCCATCTGAATTTTGGAGTGTGATTTACTCAATTGACCTTGTGACTGATCCACAAACTAAGTACTTGCGCCAGGTGTGCAAAACACACTGGATAAAATGTGATTGGCTAATTTACAATTCAGCATGTCATGTGCACACACAGCCATTTGGTCATCCAAACTAAAATATTTGTAGCCTTTACCATGGAATTACAGAAACCTGTACCCAAGGTTATAATCTGATTTCTTGAACTCAAAATCATCTTTGTTTTGAATCTGGAAAACGTTCGGTTAAAAAGCTGATAAAATCACAAACCAACCCATGTTCTATTGTGCAAAATGTTAAGAAAACCTATTTGCATGCTTAGATATATTATGCAAATTCAGAAAACTGGTTGAATTAAATGTATTGTAAGAACATACTACATATTGCATAATACTTGGTTATTTGGGGAATAAACAACAATCTTAATTGGATAAAAATAGGAAAATCCTTAAGAAAGGTATGCTTTTAATTTCTGAGCCATTCTGTTAAAATTGTAGCAAAGAGATTAAAGCATCCAACGCAAGATTAACTGAGAAAAAGCAGTCCCCAGATTGAATGACACAGTACATTCTTTCATAAAGGCCCATAATAGATGCCTCTGTCCTCCAAAACTGGTCCTTAGATATAACAAATTCTCTCAGAATAGAAAGCACACTGCATTCAATAAAACTGCTAAAGTGCCTCTTCTTTCAAGACACTTTCAAAACCTGTGAGAAACCAAGGGATAGCTGTGTGCAGCAAGGAATCATTCTGGATGAAAGCATATAGAGCTGTGGAACTGAAAAGCAGAAGATAAGAAATAGTGAAGCTAATTTTGTACCCTGCTCAGAAAACAAACATCCATATACACCCAGGCCCTAATTATCCCTGGTGAAAAAGTGCACAAATTGCAACCATTCTTTTAGTGACTGCTTGAAGTTACAATGGCACTAAAAAAAAGGACTTTTTCATTAGTTTTTCACTTATGACTGTTGTAGTATCCCCATGGTCACATGATCAAAATTTGGCCGCTTGGCAACTGGCATGTATTTATGATGGTTGCAGTGGTGTCATATCATCATCACTTGCAAACTTCTGACAAAGTCAATGGAGAAATTCCTTTAACCACATTACTAACTTAACAAATGATTCACTTATGGCAAGAAAGATTGTAAAATGGAGCAAAACTCACTTCACAACTCTTGCTTATCAAGGAGATATGCTCAGCAGGTTTTCCCTGCTTTATGTGCTCCAAAGGGAACCTAGAGTAATAATTTTAATTTAAATCAAAGTTAAGTTTTTATCTGGTCCTTCCCATTTCTGAGAGTATAATCTCCAGCATGTTACTATAACCAACCCCCCACTGATTCTTTACATGTGTTATTTAATTGTAAGTGTTAATAAAGAAGACACTGATATTCAAGTGAAGAATTTGTTGTATATTTATTATTCACAGTTAATTACTATCTACCAAATGCTCCTGCTGCGTTAACGGATTACGTACATAGGCCTGTTTTATTTAAACACTGATTTAATATATATATATACACACAAGACATTATGTCTGCAAGGTTGCATGATATACACCAATTCCAAAATAAGAAAAACAATCAAATGGTCCAAATGTAGAATGCCATAATTCCTTTTCCAATAATTTTAAAAAACAAAGTGGGGACGGGGGGAATGGAGAGAAAGATAGCAATAAAAACATGAGAAATTAATATGCTACAGGGTAGCTTTCTTTGTTTTTTTCACCTGCTGAGAGAAATGGAAATATAAGGCAGAGTCCATCTCAGGAATAATACCTGTAACACTTAGTATAAAAAGGCACCCACCAACACAGGGTCCCCCCCTACCCCGATCTGGGCAGAACAACGCTCTTCCATAAGGGAAGGTCTCTGTGGTAGTTTTGGGGTCTGTTACTAAGGTAGACAAGTTCCAGGTATGCGGCTCAGCAAAAGGAAATAAGGTAACTGGTTGGCACAGGAGCTCTGCAGGTTGCTCTCCCTGGTCTTAAAAGTCTAAGTCATTCATCGTAATATGCATGGCACCTATGAGTTTAATCAGGATTAAAAGTTGAATACAATCTCCCTTCTGGGATTTGAGAGTAAGAAAGATGATTCTTCCAGCTACCGTAATACTGGTGAGAAAAATGGGGAACTGCTGGAAGATAGTCACCGATTGCAACTGTGAGTCAAGCCAACTCTGGACAGGACTGGACTGCTTCTCCTCAAACATTAGGGTCGACCATTCGCTATAATTAAGCCCAATTTTTTGAGGCCTTACTGTCATTGGGGAAAATAATTTGGAATTTCATCCTAGGCTTTGTAAAATATGCCCCCCCCCCCCCCGCTCCCCCCAACTGGGACTATTTTCTCTGTCTTGCTCAAGAACCCCAGGCTCCGAGTTTTGGGACATTTTATGCCTTTTTCCCAACTAGTATGAAAAATATCAAATGCTTATACATATTTTAAAACTCCACCTGGTAAATGGAGATCTTTTTCATGTAATAAAGTTACATTCCTCTCATTCAATTCCTTAAATATTTACATAAAAACAGAAACAAACTGAAAATTGTGAACTGTTTTTTGTTAAACAAGGGAAAAGGCACTAATTAAAAAAAACAGAAGAACATGCCCAGTCACGATTAAAAAGAAAAGTAAAAGCTATCACGGTTAATGAAAACATGATCTGGTTGTAATGCAGGTTTTCTCAGAAAAATCCTACAACCTATTTACCATCTTCCCCTCTGCTCCACAGCCGAACAACTTTCAGACTGAAAAGCAGTGAGGAAAAAAATTAAGACCTTATCTTAGGCAAAACACTGAAGGTAGAAGCATAAGTGTTGTGTGTGTGTGTGTGTGTGTGTGTGTGTGTGTGTGTTTAAACTGGCTAATATATTTGGCTTCCTCTCTCAGTCCCTTCCCAAAGACCGTATGCATGAATAGCAGATATCAATAGAGCTTCCTCTCTTCCTGGCATAGCATGGACTTCATTTAGCAGTAACACTTCATACACTGATGCACTGGTGTTGGGGAGAAAAAGGACCAGTGAACAAAAAGGGCCACCCCAGAAATAACCAAAGAAATCTGTTAATATCCATTTTAATTTAAAGAAAAGTTTTGGTGCATAAGTTGGACCCTTCTCCTGTCCCCTCCCCACAAAGTTCCATTCTGGGTGAAAAAAAGTGTTCCCCCTCATGCAGACCTGAGGGGACTCGGTTTTATGGCCTGATGACTGAAGATCTCTGGCTGCTGTTAGGTTCTGAATGCGGACTGTACTGCTTTTTCCTCTTTCCTTAAATAATCTTTAGCCATCTGCTCTAGATGTTCCGGTTCACGGGGGTAACGTAGTTGCGTGGAAACATGCCTGTTTGTCCGTGGCAGGCTCCTTTCCACCAGTTGGGGTCAGAATTGTCAAGGACCTGGATAAAGTCTCCACGGCGAAAGCCCAGCTCTCCCTCCTCCTGAGGGTCGAAATCAAAAAGAGCCTGTACGTATGAGGGTTGCTGTAAAGAAGAGAACAGGGGATTAATTTATTGAGGCCTCCAACTTGCTCGTTTTTCTTTTTGTGACACGAATTATGGTCTCTAGGCTACAGTCAGTACATCTGAAGCTGTTGATACTGAGAGATGTCTACAAATAGCGTCTTGGTTTGCGAGTTATAGAAACAGCATCAAATCTTCCTTCTATACCATGCTTATTCTGATATACATAAAATGTCAAGACTGAATTTTATAACCAACCACAGCTTTAAAAAGTCTTATGATAAAAGGGAGCAGCTTTTTGAATTCTTGAGGTTGTATCTAGAATATGAAATAGATCTACAAACATTGGGCAGTGAATTATTAACTCTTTATCATCTTACTGCGCAGATGTAATTTTGATACACATGAGGTTGTTTTACAACAAAGGCTATTCAAATGAATCCATTTTAGGAACAAAATAAAAAAACACATCTATACAGGTAGTCCTCAACTTATAACCATTTGTTTAGTGATGGTTTGAAGTTACAATGACACTGAAAAAAGTGATTCACGACTGGTTCTCGCAATTATGTCACAATACCCCCATGATCAAAACTCGTGTGCTTGGCAACTGGCATGTTTTTACGATGAATGCAATGTCCTGGGATCATGTGATCACCATTTGCAACCTTCCCAATGATAGCCCAGGTCCATAGCTGCCCTGAACACCTGTGCTACCTCAGCCCAGGGAAGAAAGAATGAAATCCCTCAAAACCATAAGCCTACGGAACTCCTCCACCAACCTAGATACAGAGTCCAAGAGACAAAGCAGGGATGCTAACACTGCAATGAGGAAAGTAAGTGAGCAACAATCCCCACTCACCCCAGGCTCACACGGAGGGTCTCACAACTGGCAATTTCTGGGCCAATATCCTTAGCAGCTACCAGTTTTACAAATAATACAACCATACCCTCATCCATGCCATGGAATCACAACTGGCATCTGGGAGGCACATTTCAGAGGGCGGACACCACCACCCCGTCCCCCCATATTCTACCAAGTTTTGGTGCTGCAGACTGAGTCAGCCCCCTCATACAGTCAGGTTATGGATGAAGTAAGTTTTTTTTTTTACAAACCGACCGGATATGGGGCAGTCACCAAACACTGGATGGCTCTCCTACAAAGATGCTGACTTACTTCAGCCTCCGCAATCAACTGGCTGTCAAAGTCCTCTACCCCAGGGGCCTCACTTGCCTACATGTTGTCATCATTTCCACACTACCTCGTTGCAATGCCCCAGACTCCTCAGCTTCCAATTTTCCCAGGGCAATCTCAGAAAGGAGGACAGAAGGCAAGCCAAGCGGCTGCCTCCCTGCATCTCCTCCTCTACGACTGGATTTTGGCAGGCAACTGTGCTCTGCTAATCAGCTGAGAGAAAAACAGCTGACCTGTGGTACTGCTCAGCTCCCCCAGCCCCCAGGTAGAAAGCTCTCCTCCACAAACATTGTCAAGTGTAGTATCTCCTTGGCACTTGGCACATTTTTTAAAAAAATTGCCAAGGCATTTAAACATGTTTAACGGCATCCTCTGTTAACATCACCAGAAATAGCTTTTCTTTTTGGCAGCTTCATGAATGTCTCAAAAACTTATCAGCTATTTCAGAAAGAGTGTGTTCTGTTGTACTTCTTTACTGTATAATTTTTAAAAATCCTTGAGGGTCTGGCTTAAAGAATGCGTTATATAGCTTTTAAAAATAGTGTCATTATTGAAAACAGAATTAACACCTAACACAATTTGTCTTCGTAAGTCACCAAGGTTTTACCTATCCTTCATGGGAACACCTTCCCACGCACTAAAAAAGACATTCTTACAGTATTCATAAAGAATGAAGGTAGTATTATGATTAGGGAAACTCCAAAAAATTTCTTACCTGAGGCACTTGCTCAATGTCTCGGAGGAATATCTGTTGGTTCCTGGAGACAGAGGTTGATCTGTGATAATCTACCAGCTCATTCAGAGAATTGAATTTTACCACCCAGAGGAAATACTTGCCAGCACCGTCTCGAAGCACCTTGAAGTGCTGCACATCATTTCCGAATCTAAAAAGAAGCGGAAGAACATGCCAGATGTACTCACTACTTTAACATTTCTCCCAGGAATATTCTTTTCTCGCACATCTACAAGGTTAATCTTTAGCCAAGGGAAATGCACATTGGAGTTTTGAGGATTTCTAAACATGAGGTGGCAGTACAAGCCAGCAGTCAATGGGACAAGTCAAGGAAATAAGTGCATATAAATTGTGTCAAATGAAAGCTCTATTCATTTTTTCAAGTCTTGAAATTCTCATTTCTATCACACATTTATTATCAGTGTATTACCAAAACCTGAATACCAGTACTTAAAGTTAAATCCAAGAATGAGTCCAGTCTGGTTGGCCAAGGTCCTTTTTTTAAACAACAAAACAAACGTTTATCTCTGTGTTGTTCTAAGCCATCCATAGTTGCTAAGAAGTCAGGCAACCTCTAAATGTGGATAAACAAAAGGACAATCAGGCTTAATATCCAGGCATTAAGCCTGGATATTAAAAGAAGGCCCCTCCATGCCTTCTTTTTACATTTTAAAACATTGCACAACACAAGGTTGATTTAGCAAAGTACTTTATTTTTCTGTTAGGCCACAAGACTGGGAGCAAAAAAGCATTCTGAAAGCCTCTTTTGGTAGTGAATGCACTTGAATTAGAAACAGGTATGTAGCTACGGATAACTTTTTTAAAATTTCCAGTGTGGGGATCATGTATCACTTTGGACTGGAAGGCAAAAGGCGCCTGGATCCTCTGGCACAAATATCACACATATCTGCAACTTTTTAACCCAATGCATTGTCTTTGGATCTTAGGGCTGCCTCATATAAAGCGCTGGAGTTTTAGGGAGTTGCTGACAATACTAAATTCATCGCCAGTGGGCTGAGACACCATTTTTTCCTTCATAACCTCTAGTGTGTCAGTATCCAAAGAGGACCATGAGCCAAAAATCTTCAGAACTGTGGTAAGTAAGGTTTTTTTTTTTTACTTTGAAAGCCTAATGTGGCTATCCTTGCACTATAGGGAACTTTTTAAAACTCCCTTTCTTTCTTTGTTCCAGCCAATAACAGAAGTTTCAAAGACTGCAGCCAGGCCATCAATCAAATTAGATCAAATCAATCCAAAAGTAATACTCACTTGACTGAGAGGGAGAAATCACCAGGAGCACTTTCACTCTCCCTGATGAGGAAGGCACCATCATGTCTTTGTTTACCCAGCATCTCCTCAGCCCTTGCTCGAGGAATCTTCCCAAAAAACCACCTGTGCAAACATAGAACTGAAAATTAAGCCCAATTCAAATTAGGTGGAAAGAACAAGTTTGGACAGGCTTGTTCCAGAGCAGCAATCTGTCAAATAACACCAGCTAAACTCTTTCTGGAATGGGCATACAGGCCATAACTGTTTGATTGGAGAAATGTTGGAATGGTTTGAGCAGCACATGCTGCCATATTCAGAATTCATACTCCAGTATCCTAACAAATTCTAAGGCAGTATGGCATGCAAATAGAACTTTAAAATGCTAAAGAAAATCCTTAGCTGTATTTTAAAAGTTGAGAAAAATGAAATTATAAGAATATAAACGTTTCTTGCCTAGTTACTGCATAATACTTGGTTTTAATAATTGTTCTCAATTCTCCAACAAACTCTATCTATCAGTTTTGTTGATGAAGTAATATCAAGAGTCTAGTCATTACCAAATCAGCATTGTAGGGAATAATGGAAAATCTACAGAAATCTGGCAAGGAAAAGGAGAAGAATCAGTAAAAGTTCTAACCAAGCAATGACAGCAAATCTGAAGAATGATGCACTTGGCCTGAGATTGCAAAAAGTCAATCTATATATCGGTAACAAACAAAGAAGACTTAACAGATTGTGCAAATTATTGTACACTGTATTAATTTAAGCCCAAGCAAAATAATTCTTAGACTCCTCCAATGCAGGTTAGACTCTGCATGGAAAAAAAGATCACAGATGTTCAATCTGGCTTTAGAAAAAGTGAAGGAAGACAAAACATCATGGTTGATGCACGTTGGATAATTGAGAAAGGCAAAGAATACCAAAAACAAGTTAGAATATGTTTCATTGATTCACTGAGTTGTGTTGATTACATCAAGATGTTGAGCATACTTAGGAAAATGGAAATCTCAGAACATTTCACTGTTTTTATGTAAAACCTACATACTGATCAGGATGCCATAGTACAGACCAAAATGGCAAAACAGGTTGGCAAAGTAATAAAACAAACAGTATACTGTCCCCCTATTTTATTCAACCTATATTCTCAATATATACTATACTGAGGGAAGCTGGATTGGAAAAGGATGAATGCTGCTTTAAAACTGGAGGAAGAAACATCAATAGTCTGCATTTGCTGATAACAGTACCCTGATTGCCAAAAATGTAAAGAATCTCCAAACTCTAGCAATAAAAGTAAAGGAGCACAATGAAAAAAATGGGGCCAAAATTAAGTATAAAGATGATGAAACTAATGTCAACAGGTAAAATAAACAGCCTTAGGATTGACACTGAAGATATTGAAGTGGTAGATAGCTTCTGCCTTTTAGGATCAACAATTAACAGTAAAACACAGTGTTCACTGAAGTGTTTGTACTGTTAAAAGGAACATAATCTCCCTTTTAACAATAAGAGCTCTGACAGGGTAGTTTTGGGATTAACTGTTTCCGGTTCAAACTACAAGGAGGGCAGTCTGATAGTATTTTTCCAATACTTGGGAATGGGATATCTCACAGAAAAAGATCAAGAGCTGCTTTCTTTTGTTCCAGAGTACAAGACATGCAATTAAAAATATAGGAAAGCAGATCCTGATTATTAGGGAAACATCCTGAACAACAAGGGCAGTTTGATTAGGAATCAATGGTCTATTGAGACTGTGGTTTGTTTCACTTAATGTGTAAAAGCAGAGGTCAGATATCAATTGGTGTGATGCTTTCACTTGAATTCTCAAACTGAGGAGAGGTTTGGACTTGATTGTTTATGGTCCCTTCCAACTCTATGATTCAATGACTCTAATCATCACTTTGCTATTTTGAGCTATAAATGGTTAACCTAATTTGGGTTGGCATTGTGATTAAAATGATTGAGCTACAAATCAGAGTCTTTAGTATGAATTGTATCATGAAGTCTTTACAGTCTGCAGCTTCTGTCCCTTCCTATCCCTAATAAGATGATATTAATACTAGTTTGCACTTTTATTTTAAAGACAGCAATTAGGGAAGGTATGTGCTGCACCCTAATAGCTGAAAAGTTATTATGTCCATAGGAAATGCTGCTACCTTCTGTCAGAAGAGATTTAAGAATTACAAAAACCTGGATTTTATTGGACATAAACAAAAATACATGTTTGGTGGATTACTTCCCAACATTATGTCATCAAAAGGACTGCATTTGTTCATTCTATTTAGTTAGAAACTGTAGGAATTGCCAAAAGGCTGGGTTTATTTTCATATCTGCTCCATATAATAGCTTACTTTTTTCAGAAATAAACTGAATTTTCTTACGAACTTCCTTGCAAAAATAGTTAATCTCTTGCAAATATATAGTGATTCAAACAAAATAGAACTGTGATCTACAGGCTCCCCCAAATAAATAAACGTATCTTTTATTTTAAAAATTTATATGACTCACTCTCAGTGACTCCAGGCAGCTTATAAAGATAAAAATCCCATATAAAATAAGAATAAAAAGCTGTAATTACTCCCCCCCCCTCCCCAAATACCCTAACAATTGTCAGTCAATCAAATAAGCCACTTGATGGGCTCCATCCCACTCTGTGTTCCTTGGCCGGCTGGCAAAACTAAATCTTCGGGGACTTGTGAAAGAGTGTGAAAGTGAGGGCCAATCTTATCTCCACAGAGACGATCCATAGATCACAGGGAGGGAGCTATCATGGAGAAGGCTCTTCTTCTTAGTCCCACTAGAAGTATCTCTTTAGGAGAGAGGAACCACAGCATTTCTTGCCTCCCCACTCTGGTAGATTGTGACCAGAAAAAGATAACCCTTCAAGTAACCATCAAATAATTTTGCAAATATATAAACTTAATAGTGTATTGTCTAAGCAAATCTGAAGGCATATACAGATTGTGTGTTTACAGCCCTAGCAAAAAAAAAAAAAAGGTTTCAGCATGCACACTGACCTAAGTTTTTGGCTCCAAAATGTAGCAATTATTATTTATTCCAATCACCACCAAAGAACCTTTGAATCTGTTTGTGGTCAGTCACTATGGTGCCACATTATGTAGGGCTCAATTTGTTTCACATTCAGCATGTGAACCATGTCAATAGAATGTAATTTTAGGCATGCTCTTTATTACTGGAGTCAGCCAATTCAAAACCACACCACACTATTTTACCAATGAGCAAAGCAAACTAACTGAAAGCCAAGAATTACTCATTGCAATTTAATTGTATTAAATAAAAAGATGCTGAATTTATGATCCATTCAGCATTTTTAAAGCAGTGCCTAAAATCTATTTTTCCTCATATCAAATTTTAACCCAGTATAAAATGCAGGAGATCTATAGTTGCTCAAAGTTTATTAAGGAGGAAATGTCTCTATCTTTTGGGAGCTCTTCTTTTTTGTTGGAACTTTGGAATTAAGCAAATAAAGAACATACTTATAATTTTGGGGTTTTGATGTACATACAATTATTTTCAACCTTGGCTGAAAAGAGGCATCTATAAACAGCACTTTGTTTTATTATTATCCTAGGTAAAACAAGACCTATCCAACTGAACTTTAGAATGACAGCAGAACAAAATCGGTTAACATTTATTTCTTTAAATATATATAATAATTAAGTTTATACTTTTTAAAATTATTGAACTTTGATGTCTTAAGTAACTCCTGCATTTAAGTTTTGGGTGGCATAAACAGTTAGCAAATTAATGGCTGTTAAAGTCACTGACAAATAAAACAAGTGTTTAATTAGCTAACAATGATAGTATGGTACCCTACAGATACTGGTCCTTTGTAATCAAATTTCAACTTAGTTTGCCTCTGTTAACCTCACCATTTCTTATGCTTTGCAATCACCTCCTGAATCATCTGAGAAAGAGCCAAAACAGATAACTGGAAATGTTGACCCACTGGCCACATTTGGCCAGCAATATTTCTCATTTGGCCCTTGCATACCTAGCCCTTCCTCCTTGGGCCCTGGAACAAATCTGAGCAATCTCTCTGATCCTGCTTTGCAAGAACCGCCTGTTGCTTCGGAAAAAAACATTTAATAGAGAAATGTGTGTGCATGAGCGAGCATTCATGTGCACATGTGCTTGTGTATGATCCTGAGAGATTGCCCGGGACAAGATGTTTAGAAGTAGAAGTGGCTGCAGTTTCCTTTTCCTATTCCCTGCCATTCCAACTGTTTACTGAATATGGGATGCAGACAATCATACTGGAAGTGCAGTGGAGTAGGACATGAGCCTCTCTTTCACTCCATACAGGACTGTAAAATATTCTCCTTCCTTTTCTACCTGCTCTTTCTTTGCCCCTCATTCTCCTTTACAGGAGAAGCAAAATTCTAACCCAGAGATAGAGAATTTGTAGCTGTTTGGGTGTTCTTGAGCTCCCATTTCCCATCAACCCCAACCAGCATGTTCCTATTTCAGAAATAAAGGGAGGACCCTTCCTCTAGCTTTATTTTTATGCCTACAAAAGCTTCTGTGGTTGGACTAATCTAAAAAGGGAAAGATAAAAAAGAAAAATACAAGTAGTCCTCAACGTACAACAGTTTCATACTTATGACTGTTGCAGCATTCCCCATGGTCACATGATCAAAATTTGGATGCTTAGCAACTGACTCCTATTTATGATGTTTGCAGCATCCCAGAGTCATGTGTTCACCCGACAAGCAAAGTCAACGGAGAAGCCATATTCACTTAACAGCTGTGTTACTAACTTAACAACCACAGTGATTCCCTTAACAACTGTGGCATGAAAGGTCATAAAATGGGGCAAAATTAACTTAACTTTTCAATTAACAACAGAAAGTTTGGGCCCAATTGTGGTGGTTAAGTTGAGGACTACCTGTAAGACCAGGAAATATTTGCTTCGTGTTTCTGTGCAACTAAACTGTTTCTTTCAAGTTCTCTGAAGGCAGTATTTTTCTTTCTTTCTTGATTTTCAGGCTCTGGAGTTACACTGAAAGATATTTTGAGGAAGGGGCATATTAGTCTGGACTTATTCTTCTGTAGGACTGAATCAGATAGTTGGAAGGGGCTAGTTAGCTCAATTCCCATTCTCCATTTAGTACAGTAATCCAAAATAAACCAGACAGACAGAGGGCTCTGACTGGCCTCTGCTTGAACAGGTGCAATGAAAAGGTGGAGCCCACCACTTTCTTTGTTCCATTGCCAAAACACTATTCTTATCTTTGAGAAGACTTGGATTTAGATGACATGTGATTTTAGAGTAGAGCTATTAGGTTTTGGATCATTGAAATATTCGTAGGTTTTTTTGGGGAAGGGGGGAGATAATTTAGAGAGTGAATTTGGTGTAGTGGTTAAGGCACAGGCTAGAAACTGGGAGGCTCCAAGTTGTAGTATTGCCTTAGGCATGAAGCCAAGCTGGGTGACCCTGGGCCAGTCACCCCCTTTCCCACCCTAGGAAGGAGGCAATGGCAAACCTCCCCCTTACTCCCCCCCCCCCAAAAGAAATTGCCAAATAATTGTAGGGTTTAGTTGTAGACTGTCACCAGAAGTCGATTTGAAAGCAACCCTTCCCCAAAAATATTATTTCAGGAGAATATGGATTATAGAGAATGAAAGGCTGAAGGTGGCAAAAACAAAAGGAAAGAGAATGATTTCACTGATTGCTCTGTATTCTTCTGATGTCACTTCTGAAGAAAAAGTATAGAAAAAAAGATGCCTAGTTCTGATTTAATATTCAGTTTCGATTTCATTATACATATGAATTAAGAAACAGCTTCCTACAAATAAGAAATGTTAAATATGAATTTCTACAATTTATTCCATCTTCAATACCAGATAATTTCTGTTGTTAATAGTACAGTATTTCTTAGACTAATCAACACTTTTGGCAGCAGGAAATGAATGGAAAAATGGTAGCAGGGAAAGCAAGACAATGGGCACCCTAAAACCTAATTCTCTAAGAGAATTAGAGACGAGAAGGAAGAAAAGAGGCAATATATAAGCAACAAGAACAAAAATAAAAAGCAGAATGTTCAACATTAACTCTTCCCTGGAATCATTTTTCAGTGAAAGCTCTAGAATGATTACTGCATCATTTTTTAGGCAGGTTATATGTTTAATTTTTTTCCCCATAATGATGTGATTTCTATTAAACAGTTTAATGAGTGAGAAGCTGCTATTAACATTTTTCAACACAGAGACCACGGCCATGCTTACATTGCACCCACTCATATCAAGACAAAACACCCTACGCTATTGTTGATGTGTCACACAAACTTTCTGAGAAACTAAGGTTTTCTGTAGGCTTCGTGTAGGTGTATCAAGAATAATGTTGATGAAGGATAGAAATAAGCAAAGGAAAGAATTTTAGTCCAAAAATTTGTCCCCGTCCCCTCCGGGCTTTCTTTTGAATAGTTACATCATCTCCGTCACTAGACCAGAATCAAATATTGTACTGGATGAATAGCCATAATTGCAGCAAAAGCAAACAACCTGGCCTTAACTGCTGATTCTGCAATACTAGCTATGAATGCACTAACAAGGAACTCAGCTTCACATGATTTACTCTGCTGCCAACGTAAACAACCAACTCTGCTACTGGCTTGATGGCACCTTCTACTCGAAAATTGCATAGTGCATTAGATCGTAATTTTTCTCATGAGATTGAAGATGTTTTTCTTTAGAAATACAAGTCAGAAGATGACTTTTTAACTTAAAGAGTGTTTTCGAATGAATTTTTGCCTGGAGTTATCACCTAAAACTTCTGCTTTAATGGTAGAAAATTAGATTCCCTCCTAGACTAAAATTTCCATGAGGCATAGCAAGCATAGCAAGTGACCAGATATTGAGAGAGTTACAGTTCAAAATATTTTGAGGGCACTGCTGCTTATCTACGATAAACATAGATCTAAAGTTTGTGGCAAAGTAACTGAACTATATGTTTTATAAAACAGTTCCTCTACTACAGACAAACCTCGACTTAAAACAGTTCATTTAGTGACCAAGTTACTGAACTGAACAGTGATCTATGACTGTTTTTTACATTTCCAACCACTGGAGCATCCCTATGGGCACATGATCAAAATTCAGATGCTTGGCACCTGACTCATATTTATGCAGTGTCCTGGGATCATGTGATCCACTTTATAACCTTCTGACAAGCAAAGTCAATGAGGAAGCCAGATTCACTTAACAGCCGTGTGACTAACTTAAAAACTGTACTGAATTTATTTACTTAACACCTGTGGCAAGGAAGCTCATAAAATAGGACAAAACTCACTTAACGAATGTCTCATTTAGCAACATAAATTTTGGGTTCAATTGTGGTAGTAACTCGAGGACTACCTGTACATTGGTCAATCTCAGATTTATAAGCAACTATGCATTTATTTACTCACAAAGTTGCTCCCTGCATTGTAATTTAAGAAAGAATCTTATTTCTCTCACCATAGTTCAGTCAGTAAGTCTGCCAAATAATTGAGGAAACAGTAATACTTTACTTACGGATGTGGTTTCATTTCAATATAATTTTTGGGAATGAAGCCATCTTTGCCATTGAGTTCTGCCTTGTACCAATTCTGATCGCATTCTTCATTCAAAACCTGGAAAAAAGGGAGAGGAAGACAGGTTCTATTTCTGGATAACATGCTAACAATGCGCACATCATTTCAGGTTTATTTTGCTAACAGACAGCTAGTTTTAAAGAAAATCTATTCGTTGAAATGGGCAGGAGTAAAGGAGAGAAAATAACTTAATTTTCTAAGATTATATTTATGGGATAATTAAGCACACACCCAATTTGGCAGTTCCACATTTAGACTTTCAGCTTCACCATTTAAGAGTTTCGTTAACGTAAATCAGATGTTTAAATGTCAGACTTTATTCTGGAACTCACCATGAAACACTGAGTTAACAAGTTCATAAGAATACCGCTTCACTATTCCAGGAGGATAAGGGCCTGAATGCATCACACACATACAATATGAATTTCTAATACCAAGAATCTATGTAGAACAAATTTATATTATAGTCACCCCTCAATCAAGCTGTACAGCTCCAGTCTTAAACACATGCCTCTTTCAAGCCTAGTGTCTTCCCTCTCCTTAAAACGTCCACAGAGTATTTTCAAATGACAAAGCAATTCACTTATTTTTACTACATGCCCCAAAGGGATATTGTAAATGCATATCTTGCTAATTGAAAAGAGTAAGAATTCCACCCACAAATACTGCCCTTGTCCCACATCATGAGATTTTATTTTAACCAATTAATAAAAAGCCTACAAACTGTTACACCTTTTAACAGTTTCTTTTAAACATTGAGTAGAAGAAAAAAGATGTTCATTTATACAGAAGTCAAAATTATGTTAATATAATACTCCATATAAAAATCATTACACAAGTAAATTAGAGAATGTGTCTTGTACATTACTTTTATTCTATCATATCCAATAATTCCAATATACTGTCAAGTGAAGGTTTGAACAACCAGGATAATGTCAGGGGCAAATAATCAGGACAATGCAGCAGAGAACATTTATCCAAGCTTATACACAAGAATCTGTTCAACTAAAGTTCAACACTAAATTGGTGCTAAATAAGGATCAACAGAACTTGGGGGTGGGGGAAGAAGGCAGAGCCTCTGTGCTGACGGACCGTAGATCACGACTCTCTGTGGCTATGGTCCGTGCTCTTTCATTGGAGAGCCCTGATCATTACGATTAGGGGCTGAAGCTGCCTTGGAGGGGCGGTGGAGTAAGGGGAAGCCGCAAGCCAGGTTGAGGGGAGCCGCATCTCCCCTCCTGGGCTTGGTCTTTTCCCCCTCGGAAGATGACTGCAGCGGTAGTTTAAAATGGCCACCCCGAAGAGGAGGACTCAGCTGGATTAAGCTTTGTGCAGGAAGGAAGAAAGAGGTGGATAACATCTGAACCGGGACAACTGGTCAATACAACTAAACAAAAGTACCCCGGGATTAAGGTAACATGGAATTTTTAAGAAAATAAAAGTGAGCAGTGAAATTACAAAGGGACAGGAAAAAAAGAAAGAAAATATTTTTGACAGCTAAGCTGGGCTTCGAACTGGGAAAGGAAAAAGCTGGAACTAAAGATTTCATTAAATTGGACTAAAATATTTTGGGAATAAACAGGCATAAAATAAAGCTGGACTTAAGATTGTCAAAAAATAATAATAATGTTTACAAATTGGAGACTGGACTGTGCTGGAATATTGAGGTTCAAAAAACCCTAAATAAAAAAATAGGGGAGAAAAGGTGAAGACTTTGTATAATGGAGAGTGCCACTTTTTGACAAAAAGGGAAAGCATCCTGTTTCTGAATGAACTTGTGTGGATATAACATTAAAGAAATATTGAAACAAAGTAAGAATCTTAGAAAGTGAAAGCAGAACTAGAAAAAAGAAAAAAGCAAGGAAAGACTGGCTGTGGGATTGATTGATGTTTTTGGTATAGACTCTCGGCTGGAATAATTGAGAACTTTAGAAAATTGAAAGAAGAAAGTAAAAGTGTTTTTTTGTGGACTTTAACGATCATAAAATACAAGAGTGTGTAATGATATCTCTTCGGGAATTAAAAATGGAACTTAAAAATATGAGAGAATTACTACAGGAAAGAGGCGAATCACTTTGCGCTATGTTAGAAAAAATGGCAATGGCAATTGAAGAACAAGAAGAAAGAGCTTCAGAGGAGGAGGAGTCGATTCAAGGAGAAGACATTTTAAATAGACAATTAACACAAAGAACACTACAAAGAATTGGGGAAAGAAGGAAGGTTAAAAAGTTGAGATTTAAGAAGGCAATCAAAAGGGGGAATACCTGTGAAGTCGGGAAAGGCAGAAAGACCCAGCAGAAAAGGGGAAAGGAAGATATTAAGAAAGAGAGGGATATAAACTGGAATGAGAAAAGATATGGGGAAAAGAGAGGCAGGAGAAGCAGTAAGAAACAGGTGCATGAAATAAAGAAATACGGAAATAGTAAAATGTTGAAAAGAAATTGTTTTTTCAGAGATAATGGTTGATGAATTAAAAAGGGGATTCTGCAGGGTGACAAGGGGTAATAAGAATATTTCTGCAATTAAAAATATTTAGAAAATAGGGTAATATAGATACTGATAACTCTTATTAAAAATCAAGGGGGGAAAACATGCTGTGGAATCCAAGTGAAAAGATGTAATGATTATTATTGTAACTTCTTAAAAATAATGATTTATTGGGAATTTAAGATGAGGGAATAAAGGTATATTTATTTTAATCATTGAGGTGTCACACTCAAAACAGTAAAAGGGGGAAAACCTATACTTGTTTTTTTTTTAGTGTTAAAATTTGTATTAATCTAGAATTTATAAAAAGAATATGTAATGGAAAGGGAATATGACAGACTAAAGAACCAACTAAATTAATAAGTTAATATAGACTATTAAAAGCAAGGAGAGACATTGGTAACTTTTTATTATTATCATTATCATTATTATTATGCAAACACATATTGTTTATCTTTATTTTTAAAATAAATATTAAAGGATTATATTTGAAATATGAAATGAAACAAAAAGATGTTTCGATTGAGATTAATGAAAGAGGCTAGAATTAATGTGTTTGTTTCTCTCCTTACTGAAAATTTGGAATGGAAAGGGTAATAATAGAATTAAGTATGCATATATCAATGTATAATTGTTGTCATATTTGTATGTAAAGGTGATGACCTGTAAACATGCTGTCCACTAAAAAGAGATTTTTGTTTTTAATGTGAAAAACTGAATAAAGTTTGTTAAAAAAAAAAAGAACCTGGGGGTGGGGAGGGGGGTTTGACCTGGAGCACTTGTGGGAATGCAAAAATTCTAACCCTATGACATGCTTAACTCTGCCCCCCAGCTCTGCCTGTTCTTCTTCTACAGTAGCAGCAGCCAACCTTTTGGACACAAGGGACTGGTTTCATGGAGAGAGGTTTTTCCGTAGACTGGAGGGGACAGGGTTTCATGTGCTGCCTGCAACCCCAGATGGGGCTTTGCTTGTTTATGCAGCCTGGTTTCTGGCATGCCATGGACTGGTGCCAGTCGATGGACCCGGGGGTCAGGGACCCCTGTTCTAAAGTAATGTTTGTAGTGTAGTATAGTGATACATTAATGCTTATGTGTACCCAGTCCCAAAGATACTGAGTCTTTATCTTATTAAAATCTCTTACTTATTAACTACAGAATATAAGTTTATGGAGAGTTGATACTTGATTAAAAATTTAACGTGAGTTCTTCCTAGAACAAAGTTGTATAATGGATTGAGGGAAAACGAGAATCTGTAAACACTGAAGATAAAAGCTCCAAACATGCCATAGATCAGAACTCTACCTCTGTCTCCACTTAGGAGACTTATAAAACATGCCAAAAATAGCTGCCTATAGTTGTTTATTAATACTTTCAATTTCCTATTAACTTTTACATTGTATAGACATGCCCCATACAAGAAGTGTCCTAGAACTAGAATACTAGAAAGTAAACTTGTCCTTTTTAAAAAGTGCACAGCTGCAGGATTTCAAGAATGCTCTGTGTGACATATATGAAAGATAATGTATGGCTATCATTGAAAGTCAGCAACGGGTCTTCTAATGGAGTAAAACTCACTAATTAAATCTAACCAAATTATTGGAAGTGAAGCAATTTCTTTTATGTTGGAAGATCTCCAATAAGGCTAGTTTTAGCAGTTACACTTGAGTTATGTGTATAGCAATGATGAAATTGCTTAGGATTCTAGTCATCAGGTTCTGAGTTGGGCAAGAAATTTCCCATCGAGACACGGCTTTCTCTTCTCATGGTAGTAAGAAAAGGCAACCTTTAAAATTAACACCCTAAGAAATCTGGATGTTCTGATAAGTATGCTACATATGTCTGCAATCAATGATTCTTGTTTTTACTTTTAAAAGCAACAGCTTTTGATCACTGCATTTAGATCAGTTCTTTATCACTGAGTAAGAATCCTGGTAGAAATCCCTCTCTAACTTTTATTTAATGGAGAAAAGCTGATGTCACCTAATTGGGTAATGAAATGTTTGCAAGAAAACAACCAAGCTCAGAGAGCACCAAGAACTCCACAGTTCAACCCTGAGCTACAAATATTCTGCTCTATTGAACCACAGTGTTTGATTTGTATTTCTTGTTTTGGCACAAAACATTCCATAAACATAAGAGTGTAAGACTCCTCGCTGTTCACGTGTTCAAATATATATTTTATAAGATTATAATTGTACTGTTTCAATCATTACTTTATTCTGTGTCTGTATTATATAAGACTAAAACTGGAAATAAAAACCACCCTTCTCTCTGCAGGTCTCTGCAAGTATATTTATATTAAGTTGTAGCATTAATCCTTTAAGGTCTAATAACTCACTCATTTTAATTTTAATACAGTTGTTCATGTATACAGTCATTCATGTACAATCATTCCCAATACGCTATATCTCTGAATTAAAGCAAACTATGGGAAATTTCACATGGGTCTTGATAGATATATTGATATATTGTCCATTCAACTCTTATTTAAACTTCAATTTATGCCTTTACAATTGTAACATTCAATATAACACATAACTTCTAGTCGAATT